CCTTCTTTCGCTTTTGTGCAGTAAGTCCCATAGGGAGGCCTCTCAGCGCCAACCCGCCTGGCTCCCATGTATCGCAGCCTGAAGGTATCTTAACCTGGATGGATCTTGACAAACTCGGTACCATTTTGAAGCGGATGAATGGGCCAACCCGCATGCAAATCGGCAGGTCGATAGACCCGAAACTTTTGGAGAAAATCCCAGAAGTAGCAGCGGATGCCCCTTCTTTCCATTTTGTGCAGTAAGTCCCATAGGGAGGCCTGTCAGCGCCAACCCGCATGGCTCCCATGTATCGCAGCCTGAAGGTACCTTAACCTAGATGGATCTGGACAAACTCGGTACCGTTTTGAAGCGGAGGAATGGGCCAACCCGCATGCAAATCGGCAGGTCGCTAGACCTGAAACTTTTGGAGAAAATCCCAGACGTTGTAGCGGAGGCCCCCTTCTTTCGCTTCTGTGCAGTAAGTCCCGTAGGGAGGCCTGTCAGCGCCAACCCGCCTGGCTCCCATGTGTCGCAGTCTTAAGGTATTTTAATTCATATTGAATTCATTCTTCCACTGTTTACGCCAATTTTCCCCCAGCTGTGTCAAATATTATGGACAATAGTTAGTCACAATTTTAATCCAATGCAATATGTTGTTCTGGAGTTATCGTCTCCACAATGTGTGTTTTATTTCTGTACATTTTGAAAAGACAAAGATTCGGAATGATTTTTCGTAATCAAAACACGTATTTTCTTTAAATCATATCAAATTTCGTACATTTTTTTACGCCAATCTTCAAAACAGCTGTTTCAAATATCATGGCCAATAATCGTTTGCAATTTCAATGCAATGCAACATGTCATTCTTGAGTTATCGTCTCCACAAAAGGTGTTTTAATTTTGTTTAATGGGTGGATTGTGATCCGCATTGTTGTACTAACCAGTGTTTGTATAGGGCGCCCTCTTAAGGAAGAAATTGATGACAGCAAAAGTATGAAGCGTCCTTACACATTGTTGTTTATTGTCGTTGTGCATATTTTTTTCTTCCACGGTTCCAGTCTCATTTTAATTGTTTTTTGTTTTTTATGTCATAACATCACGACTAATTATCGAATGAAATTTCATTTCAATACAATTGTTATTGTCTCCAAAAGAGTGCTTCGTTTTTGTTATATTAAAAGTGACTTAGATTCGGAATGAACCTGTCGTTATTAAACACTTATTTTCTTTAAATCATATTATATTTATTCTTCCACGGTTCACGCTAATAATTAACCTGGTTGTGGCAAATATCATGGCCTATTTTTGGACGCAATTTTAATCTAATGTAATATTTCATTCTGGAGTTATCGTCTCCACAAAGAGTTTCAATTTTTGTTCAATTAAAAGAGACAAAGATTTGGAATGAATTTTTCGTAATCAAAACTATTATTTTCTTTAAATCATATTAAATTAATTCTTCCACTGTTTACGCCAATTTTCAACCCAGCTGTTTCAAATATCATGGCCTATAATCAGTCGGTAATTTCACTGCAATGCAATATGTTGTTCTGGAGTTATTGTCTCCACAATGAGTGTTTTAATTTTGTTCAATTTAAAAAGACAAGGACTCGGAAAGATTTTTCGTAATCAAAACACGTATTTTCTTTAAATCATATCAAATTTATTCGTACATTTTTAACGCCATTTTTCAACCAGCTGTGTCAAATATCATGGCCAATAATCAGTCGAAATTCCAATTTAATGCAATATGTTGTTCTGGAGTTATCGTCTCCACAATGAGTGTTTTACTTTTGTTCAATTTAAAAAGACAAAGACTCGGAATTATTTTCCGTAATCAAAACACGTATTTGCTTTAAATCATATTAAATTTATTCGTACATTTTTTACGCCAATTTTCAAACCAGCTGTGTCAATTATCATGGCCCCAATAATCGTTCGCAATTTCAATCCAATGCAATATGTTGTTCTGGAGTTATCGTCTCCACAAAAGGTGTTTTAATTTTGTTTAATGGGCGGATTGTGATCCGCATTGAGGTACATGTACTAGCCAGTGTTTGTATAGGGCGCCCTCTTAATAGAGGGTGCACCACATAAAAAGTGGTCTCGATAATTGTCCACAACCAAACTCGTTTGGGGGGCAACAACTCCACAAATACAAGATGCTTTAAATTGAATTTTTGTCTACTGATTTGTCATGATGTTTAACATTACGAGATTTAATTTCACAAGAAACCGTCCAATAATTAAGCAAAATTGACCGTAACAATACAGTGTTTTAAGCGCGACAAATGTAATTCGAATGAAAAATCAATGTGTATTTTTTGCGTGAAAAACACTACATTGTTACGATCGTATTTGCATTTTTATCGTTGGACTGTTTCTCATGATATTCCATACCCCTCTGTTATACATCGTGGAAATTAATTGCACGAAATTTCAGTTTAATACATCTTGTATTTCTTGAGTTGTTGTTCGGAAAACGAGTTGTTATTTTTGTTCAATAGTGCAGCATCCGCACTCCCAATATTCTTTCAATTAATAGATGACTTACTTGACTTAATGCTGTCCTCCCTGAATTGGCTTCTGAAAGAATCCTTGGAGCTAGCAGCCGCTTCACTATGGAGGACCATTCCCTTCTGTTTCAAACCAGACGTCTCGCTGCACATACCGTTGGAATCCCGATTTCTTGGCAGCTTGATTTGATGTTGTCTAGCCATCGTTTACTGAGGGAGTCTGCCTCTGGGTCGATGACCTTGGATCCTTCCCTCAACTGCTAGCTTTTCTAGCTTAGGGTATCAGTCGTTTGTCAACCTGATGATATGTCCAAAGTAGGACAGTTGTTTGGCTTGGATCTTGTCAGGCTATGGTGGTCTGAGAGTTGTTTTTCCTCTGATGTTAGTATTTATTATCACGTCCCTTCTGGAAACGCCCATGATTCTTCTCAGGCATGACATTTCGAACACCAGTAGTCTGTGTTCGTCTTTTTTCTTCAGGGTCCAAGACTCAGAGCCATATGTTGCAATTGCTAAGATGAGTACTCTGTAGAGCTCCATTTTTGTGCTGGTGATTATTTCTTTGAATTTCGAAATTGGTGTCAGTTTTTGCATTCCTCCCATTGCTAGGCCAATTCTCCGTTTTATGTCGTCCGAGCTTGTGGAATTGAGTGCGTAGTCTGGCTGTAATGATCCTTTCAGATATGTATCCGATTAACGCTCTTTGTGCAGCTTTGTTTAGTAAGATGGCCACACCTTCTCTGTGGGTGGTGTCATTTCCAGAGCACAAGAACTGTATTCCTTCCTGACGTAGCTCCCCTGAATCACACAAATGGGTTTCTGAGAGGCCGATTACCTGCCAGTTTAAGTGGCTCAGTTCATGTAGATAATGTTCGAAGTTTCCCTCTTGGTGTAGGGTACGAACACTGTCTATACTTATGGTAGACTTTGCATTTAAAAAGGCTCTTTTCCCATCAGGTAGATGGCGCGCCACATAAATAGTGATCTCGTAGAGTCCACCACCGAACTCGTTTGGGGGGCAACAACTCCAGAAATACAAAATGTTTTAAATTGAATTTTCGTGTAGTGATTTGTCATTATGTTTAAAGGGAATATACATCATTTGCTTTTGCTGTAATTTTCAGAAATGGATGGAATTGGGGGGTTGGAAATATATAGCAAATATAGTAAAACTGACTTTTTTGAGCTTTTGGGTTCGGAAATGCTATACAAACGAAGAAAAACAATCATTTTCCTGTAGTCTGGTTCCCTGACTCCATTTAAGAAGAAACAGAGCAGTTTTCATATATTGGGGAATTGTAAGGTCAGGGAACCAGTCTAGCTGGCTTGTACCCGTTCATAGGTGTGTAATCGATTGCAAACAAGTGCGATGGTCAACTGGGGCCAGTAGCCTATTTGAAAAAAGCCAGTTTTTTCCAACGCTGATCGGCCGATCAGCGTTGGAAATTGATACAAAAATACCACTTTTCTTGAAAATGACAGTATACCAGGTGGCATGATTTACAGGATGCTTTACACTGTCATTCACTAACAGCCCAGCAAGGTATTTCAAAATGATTTGGTAGTTTATTTTTTTATGTTTGCAAATGTTGTATTTTCCCTTTAAACATTACGCGATTTAATTTCATAAGAAACCGTCAAACAACGAAGCAATATTGACCGTAACAATATAGTGTTTTAAGCGCGACAAATCATTACTAACACATTGTCGTAAAAGTTGGTATCTGAAAATTTCTAAGCAAAACCCCCTACGCCGGGGTTTTGTGTAGAAAATATCAGACGGTTATTTATTACTCCCCATCACGTTCAGTTAACTTCGTTCGTTCTTCGTTCAGTTAAGCCCAATTAGGTACCAACTTTTACGACAACATGCTGGTAATGCCGAAAGGCTCCAAAAATCAACTTACGTGGCCACAAAAATCAGTTGACTGACTCTGGGTAAATACACAATGTTACAAAATAACAATCAAGATAAACGCGTATTGAACTAATATACAGGCCTGATCATGATTTCCTCCATAATTAGTCCTTTCTTTTATCAATCTTATCAAAATAATTATATGGTGACAAAATACTTTCTCTACACGTGAATTTAGTCATAGCATTATCATGCGGCCCCATACGTAGCATTCCAAAGACACAAGACATCACTTGCTCATCGTGCATCCTCATCTTTTAAGAATCACCACTACCACCTCCCTTCTCCCTCATCACCGAGTCAAATATGCAAAGAAACAACCCTATAAATTATGAAGGAAAAAAATCCAATTACAATTTGCACCTACAATAACAAACTCAAGGGCATTGGACCGGAAGTAAAATGAGGTCTGCGATAATACATGCATTTATGTCCCATCTGAATAAAAAAAGAGCATTTCGAAATCCCACCCCCACAATTGATGTCTAGCTGCCCAGGAATGCGAGGGCTTACGTGTTTACACGGACGCGTGCATTTGTGGAACGGGGCCAAGGATCAAGGGCGGTTAACTCTAGCTAGCTCTGTGTAGAAAATAAATAGCGTGCGCAGTGTGCATTCAGCCAATACATAGGGCTAGGCGAGCGGTGGTGCACGATTGTCAAAAATTGGCTCGCTCTTTGGGGGAAATTTCTTCAACTTTGTGTGGATAGAGAACGGTTGGAACTCATGATTCGATAGTCGAAACCCCAAGGAAGGATACTGATCAGTACTAAAGACTTTTATAATTTGAATTTCGAAGATGGAGATTTGGCGCAGCTGCCTTGTGTGTGTGATTTGGTGTTTAGCAACATGTTGGGCGCAGGACCCGCTCGCACCAGGTAATGTGTACCGTTTGTTTGTACATGGAGGTAGTTTTACCAGTTGTGATATGGACCATTCAATAACTCTTTAACAACAGTTTCCTTGCAGATAACTCTGGATATACGTAATGAATAAGTTATCTTTCCTATGTGCAGTATTTTCAGCGACCAATGTCACAATTGGTAAGAATTTGGCTTTGCTGAGTGTAATTTCTTTTGTAAATGAAAAATAAGTTTATTTTTCAAATTGTTACATTTGTTTCTAATTCAATGTTGATAATTCATATTTTGAAATGGATATGCAACGTGTTCAACAAACTTGTTTGAAAGATGTTTCCGCCCAATTGAACTTGAATTGAAGAGACGTAATTTGGGCTTTGTTGTGAGATTAGGAAAAATGTTTTTCATTATTAATTTCCAAACTGAGTGTCAGGATCGAAGTGCCATTCTAAATTTCTTTAAGTTTGGTGTGCCAGCCTATGATGAGTGACTACGTTTATTTTGAATTAATAAATTTACATCAGAAGCCTAGTAATGACCATTTGATAATTGTCATACTATTAAGTTCAACTGCCTAAATACCACAGAATTTACGTGAATTGTTTAAAATTCCAATGACCTCGTGAGTAGGCCATATGTTCTGCTGTTCAGCTGTACTTTCTGTCGAGGTTGCTTCTGGTATCAAGTGATGAATTCCAATTCAAATCAAAAGGTCAATTCTATTACATGTAATTTCATCCATACAGCCAAAGCCCACAGTAACTATCCATAACCTTTGCCAGTTTTGAAATACATGTGAGTTTGATTAATTGTGCTGCATGAGTAAATTCCACTGCGTTTCTGAGTCAAGGGTCTGTGAGTCTGCAATAAAGCGAGTTGACATGAGCTGATCTCACGACACTTCTATCTTCATTTCAATAGAACCCCTGCTGGTTTCAAGAATATAAGAACAACTTTTGCAAAGAGTGAATCCTACTGTGTGTCACTGTCAGACAAGACCTAATGACTTCCTAGTCAAGATCCCTAGAGGATGTTTCAGGAGGAAACCAACCAAGTAGTAGTAACGGGCAGGACACAATTATTTACAAAAACAAAGTTGTTCAGCAAAATCAGCAGAGAACTGGCCACAGGAAATGATATTTAACAAATACATGTAGGCCTAACCCTTCTAAAAATATTTTTGTTGAAACAATTTTCTAGTAGCTGATGCTGTGCTATCGCCAGGCTTAAATCTTTTCCAAGAGTAAACAATCTCCGATTATTTTACTGGTACACATAGTTATTGTAAGAGGATCTAAAACCAGAATGATCATTTGGATAAGCTCGCTTTGTCTCAACTCTCAACGGTATATAAACTATCGCAGCTGCAGTTTTCTACTACTGTACATGTACATACATACATGTACAGTACGTTAGTCTAATATGAATCAATGATTGGAACACAGTGTAATCTTGTGGAGTAGAGGTTCCACTTAACCTTTCAGCAGGCCTTCTCTGCTTTCAGTACTCTTTCTTTGAGATTTAATCAGTCTACTTAAGGAACAACAAATTCTCGCAGTTTCACTTTCATGCAGTTGATAGCTTTAAATAGAATTGTTCATGAAACTGACACCAGATGGTCTGATCCAGAATCGTGGCTGTTGAACTGTGAAACTCAACAGCGGTGTCCCCGGTAACCCAAGAGCAAAAGTCCCCTCGTGTCTGCGTGACATGGCTGGCCCCCTGCAGGGGGACCTCCCTTGAACCTATCCATTCTAGTTTTGGTAATCAGTGGGATTGAAGCTAGTTTGCCCGAAAGGAGGAATGCTGAAATGTATATGTTGTCTTTATAATCCAAATGGTCAACATAATAAATTTGTACAAATATACAGAGTATACTGCATGCATAAATTCTCCATAATGCATGCTCTTAAGTTATGTTGCGTACATCCAGTGAACCCCAAAAAATGTTGTACATGGGTCATTCCACCGGGTTGGGGAACAATGTGTGACATATGACCATATTGATTCCATGAATTACTACAACATGTATACGTTGTAGTAATTCATGGAATTTTGCTTACGATATTTGTACATTTTACTATGTTCAGTTCAAAGGTTAGAAAGTGGATGACTCATAAAGAGGATAGAACATATTGTATTTTTCTTACGAAAAAGCTGTTCTCATTTTTCATTGTCATGATATTTTTACAATGTTCGTTTCATTGACAGCAATGGAAATAGACATGTTGGCCTTGCACTAATGGTATATTTGTACATTTTACTACAGTACAGATGTATAACGTAAATGATCAGTTCAAAGGTTAGAAAGTGGATGACTCATAAAGAGGATAGAACATATTGTATTTTTCTTACGAAAAAGCTGTTCTCATTTTTCATTGTCATGATATTTTTACAATGTTCGTTTCATTGACTGCAATGGAAATAGACATGTTGGCCTTGCACTAATGTACATTTTAAGTAGACACTACGTACCAGTACATACAGATACTGCATTATAGATACTGTACAAATATAGAAGAACGTGAGCACACAAGAATGTCCAACACTACATGCTTTCATAATGCTGAGACCTTGAAAATTGAATCACTGCAAGTGACAATGTTCCAGCGGTTGTCCCGCTCTTCTTCTATTCTGGTATTTTCTACATTATTCATACGCAAGGAATAACAAAAGAGAATTCGTAAAAAAAATAATACATGAACCATTGAACTGTTCACATAACTGTGTGAATGGCCTCTTCAGTTTTCAGTAAGGAATAGAAAGGTTTGGGTGGCCCCGCAATGTGGATTTCTTTGTGAAAGATTGTCTGCTACCCAAAAAGCTACAAGGTCACCTTGGGGTCACACATTGTATGTATGTTTGGGTGACCTCATGATGACCTCAGCACTCAATCAGTGTGGAATCTATTGTTTGGTGCACAAGAGGCAGGAAATCGGATAGGCCATTAGGCTATCTAGACAAGTGTTTCATGTACTTGTAAAATTGATAGCCAGACTGTGCTATAGAGTATTGTTTGACAGAAATGTCACCATTTTGTATAGCTATGCAAAATGACTGTACTGATTTTGATAGACAGGTAGACATGTTGTCTCTTTGTACGGCATACAAAGGATGAATGATAAAACATGTACTGGTACATTAGGCCGAATAAAAAAACCCACATGTTTCTCATCCGGGTTTTTTTCTTAGAAAAGGAGGAGGCGGGGCTTTTTATTTTTTATTTTCTATTTTTTTCAAGATGGCCGCCACTTTAAAAAATTTCCTGCAACCGTTGGTGATCCACTGTTCAAAGACACTTTTAAAATGAAAGACAAGTTGGACAAGAGAACTGAACATATACAGTGTCATTTAGAGTTGTATTGGTATTGGTATTTATTTTCCGATGAATTTGTGGACTTTTTCGGTGTTTTTTAACTGCATTTTTCAAAAATAAAAAATAAGAAAAATCCAGGCGGCCTCCAAAAAGGAAGCGGGCAGGGATGAGAAACATGGTGGTTTCTTTTCACTTCGCCTGATATTGTACTTTTATAGTCAAATTATTTGCTTTCTTTTGTTTTGATGCCTAAAAGCTTTCTTTAGTTTTGATGGCTAAACTAATAATAAAGAATGTTTATAAACAAAAAGCACATTTACATGTATTGTAGTGATGCTGCAGTTCGTGGTGACCATTCTTTCTGGAGACTGGATGCTGACTTCAAAGAGAAAGAATAATACAAAATTGCAACAAGTGAATTATGAAAACTGTAGCTGATTCAAAATGTATGGGGGAAAATAAACATATTCCATGGCACAAGGACTAAAATAATATTTTATGCACTTACATGTAAGTTCCTGATGGCAATCGACTAAGCCTTGAATTTTATCCAATTTACAAAATAAAACAAGACTCATACAGTTTAATTTGAATTGCTTTATGGGCCCGTCATAACGTCTCAGTGTACCGTATGTAATTTCAGATTCGGTTTCCAGTTGCAGTAAATTTATTACTCAGTAATGATCTGTCATTGCTGCAAGAATATATTTTTTTCCCCCAGTCTAAATTAGATGACATAGCTTGAACAATTTATTTGTGCGCATTTTAATAATGAATTGGCATTCAGCGCATGTACCATACACTGGCCCGGGAGTCTATAAATTATGTGCAGTATGCTACATGTAGGTTTTGAATTATACATGTACCTGTGCATTTCTGTAAGTCCATCAGTACAAAGCAACAATACTTATTTACAACAAACAAGGATGAGTTAATTTTTTTACAATTCACATAATTTCTAAAATTTGTATATTTAGCATTAAAATTAGAGGAGATCAATCGATCATTATTAATTTAAAGTTCGACATTCTGTGGTATAACACCAAATTACAAATGGATTTACAAAAAATAGCCTTAATCCCCAAGGAGTTCATTTGAGGTAAAGTACCACATACTACAAAGTACTACAAAAATTGTTATTGGAAATGTGTTATGCATTATGTATGCTGGTACCAAATATTAGAAAATACTATGAGTGTTGTTCCCACTTATACAATGTATGCTGAAGTACTGCAAACTATAGTTTAATATTTACATTGTTAGGGTTAATACTACTAGTAGTATTTTGTAGCTTTTAGGTAAGGTTAGGGTTTAAACCATAATTATGGTTTAATAAACTGGAAAGTAAAAGACTTAAAAAGTGAATAATATAACAATTAATATTCAAAAAAATTGTACTTTAAACTTTCACAACGATGTCTCAATACCCAATGCAGTTGTAGCCTTGTACAGGTATTATGATCCTATGACTAATCCAACAATTTGCATACCGAGCAAACATGCAGGTGTGTGTATAACATGGCATACTCCATTGAATAGTTCCAATGTTGCCCACTATCATGTGCTATAGTCTGTCAACAAAGGCTTCCCTATTTATTTTGGTCCCACACTTGTACTGCGGATGTTTATGCAGCATATTTTACACTTCACTAATATCCCATTGTGCTAGATTTACTGCGCCAGAACTTCATTTTACAGAGCGAACAAATAATATTATGACAAACTGAAATGCTTTGTAGAATAAATGATGTCAGTGATGACACAAAACATCTCTGAATGTAACATTCCTTTCAAGGAAGTTTATTAATATTTTTTTTATTCCTCGATTGTGGCCACCGCATTCAGCAGAGCTCTGTGTGTGATTGATGAAGATGTCAACCTCATTCGTTTTTCTGGGTAGCGTTCGTAATGCATTTTGCCTGCCGTGATTCACTGTGTGGGCATGCCCGGCTGGCCAGCTTAACCGTGCAGTGATGACGACGCACCGAGCACTGCTAGATGACTCCTCGTCATTCCGCAGACTGGGTGAAATGGCCCGCAAGATGTTTTAGTGAGAACACGGCAGAAAAACGTTGCATGCTGTTTTATACACACTGACCACAAAGAATGGTTTGTACAGATGGGGCGGTGTGGTCTGCAGCCGGGAATACCCAGCAATGTGCACTAGTGATAGGCTTACCTTATAAGGTGACAGCCGACTATGCGGGGAGTGTGTGTGAGGATGGAATACTGAGTTAATGGGATTGACCCTACCGACGACGATGTATTATGGGGTATTCTATAAAATGAAATTTATACCGTCTTGGTAAATTTAATTAGCGGAAATGGGGAGATGGGTCTAAGTGTATGCTGCTTTGCATATTAAATTTTTTTTAAAGGAAATTTGGTCTTGGGTTGAGGGAGGGTTTATTTGCATTAGTGTGAGCTGTGATTGTTTTACCTGAGATGCTGCTAACATTTCTGGCACAGTGATTTAGGGTTTTGTGTTATTCTCAAATTCTAGCTGGTACTGATTCATGCTGGGACTGTACCAAGGTGTATGTTGATATAAACAAGGTACTGGTATCCAGACAGTCTGGCAGACTGAATTGTTAATTGTTTTCTGTGTCTGGATGTAGTTCACTGAAACTTAAAAGCAAAACACAGTTCTACAAAATGATATCAATTGAAAACACACAATTGTCTGTATGTAAATTGTATAATTTACATGTATAGGGATCAGTCTACATGTATCTTGTGGAACTTTGTTTGGATTTTTTTTTTTTTTGTATGGGGAACCTTCCAAAATTTACTAAAGTCTAATACTAAACCAATTATAAATGTTTGTACTTAAAATGTGGACACCAATCCAAATGAATAAAGTCATGGTATCTGGGCTCGGGATGAACATACATTCTTGAATTTGTCAAAATCCTACAAAACCAGGTGTTGGATTTTTTGCAGGGAAGGGTTCTTCTACTAGTCAGGGTTAAAATCCACATTAGAAGATTTGTTGCCAGTAATATGTAAACATTTGATTCACTGTTTCAAATACACCATGTACGCCTTGCTCCAAGCATGAACATGTCCGGATACACAAAAACATTTACCTGAACCTTAAGGTCTGACAGTCCCTACCTGATCAAATTATCAGATTACTATCCTGTAAATTCAACCGATAATCTGATTTCCTTGGACGGTCTGTAAATTGGTACTTGGGGCCAAGAAGCGTCGGTCCTTACCTTGCAGGTACATAAGCCACTCGAGAGGCCGGATATGGTTGGACTAAAAGAATTCATCAATTAGTGGGCAAGGTGATGAGGCAAATTAAGGAGACTGCTTTTTATGCCGCATGTTGACTTGTGAATTATGAAGTAATGAAATGAATGCATGTGATTACTAAAAAATAACAGCTGCTATTACTGTATCTGTTGTAACATGGGTATGTATTGTTTAGTAAGGCCAACAAAAAAAATAGTCGGTCTCTGGTCAGCGCGCGCGTCGATTTTAATCATGCGCGTCAACCGTTTTTTTTTTTTCTTCAAATTGTCCGCGGTAGCTACAATAGCGCCCTCTATTTTCGCAACTTCTCAAATTTTTGTACCAAGGAATGGGGAAACTGCACCAAGGCAAATGATGGAGGGCACCAAGGCAAATTATGGAGGACACCAATGTATATGAGGACACAAAAAAGCAAAAAATAGTACCCACCTTGTATGTACAATCCATGCTTAAAAAAAAAACAAAAACAAAAAACCCGCGTCACTGCATCAATTCTGGAACTTTGGTCTGACCAGAGACCGACTATTTATTTTTTTGCCCAAGTAAAAGAATGAATATTTTTTAGAATAGTGGGCTTAGTGGCGTACATGTACACAGTTGGGCTGGGAAGGCCAAACCTGCTCCCTACCCCCACAACAACCTTCTGCCATTTTTTAAAAAGGAAATTTAAAGGACCATTACCTCATATTCATAAGTAGTATTTTTACGAGCTAATAAAATTACCCAACCGCAACCCAAATCCATGATATGCTCTGGTTCAAAGTATTTCTTCTATCAACAGTAGCTTCTCTATACATACATTTATCTGCATGTATTGTTCAGTCGTTTAAAAGTTCTTGGTACAGTTTTTTCATGGAACTGATTACAGATATCTTTGTTTGTGACAAATAGTGGTGGCACTCCTACAGCCATTTTATTTGTTTGACACAAAAAAGCTTGTATGCAGTCAAGTGGATAAAGTTTGGACTTTCGTTGAATGATGTTGAATTGTTATGTTCTGATAATTTTTTTTTATCTGCTCAAGATAAGGGATTTCCGGCTGTGGTCTTTCAAATCTGGTTTTGATTTCGGAGAACTGACCGGCATGGGTGTGAAATTGGCAACCACATGTCACTAAACAATGTAACAATTGAATGCTATTATTGGCCAATATTTTTAATATTTTGTCTTGATATTTTATTCTTCATTCCAGCCGCTATTACGGACAGTATGTGCACAACTGCCAAAAGTTGCGATGAGTGTATAGTGAAAAGCCCACAGTGCGGCTGGTGTGAGTCTAAGGTAAGGTGAAAGCCATAGTAGTAAAATGAGTAGTAGTATATTTGTTTTTTTAGCAAAGAAAAATAACTTTTATTAGATGGAATTTGCTTCGGAAAGATGTAAAAAAAAAAGCAGCCTGAGGTCTTGAATTCGAGTCCCACCCAAGTAAGGTTGTTATTTTTTTCGCAGGCCCTCGGGCAAGACTGAGTGTAGAATATTTATGAAGTATGTCAACAAAGGGCAAAACAAAATATACAAAAACAATAATAACTTATACAGGATTTGAACCTGTGACCCCAGAAAAAGGGCTTTGTACACAAGACATAAATTTCTATTTGATTAATTGATGAGAATCAATTGAATATCAATCATCGTTTTAAAAATATCCCCATCCCTTACTACATCAACGCTTTAGATTCTCAGTAAAACTGGCCAGTTCAACCTGTATAGTATGTTTCAGAGTGGTTTCACTGAATAATTCATTATCGCCAGATTTTCTGTTGCCAATTTTTATTAATCATTGTTTACATCTTAATTTTAATGTTGAAGTTAATATTTCGTATTGTGCCCACTTTTAAATGTATTTACTGTCCTTTACATGTTGATATTTTATCTTTGTAACCATGTGCAATTCAGACGCAAGGCTGCAAGAACATGGATTTCAATAAACCAGAATAATTAAATAATTAATTGAAAAATTTAAATACTTTCCAGTGTCACTAGATTCTCCTTTCAAAGTGAAACTGTTTAAAATACCAGAATAAAAATTTAAACCAGATGCTACAAGAGAATATTTGCTTTTCATATCCTTGGGTGTGTGTGCCCTCATGACACACAACACATTCCAAAGATTGTTGGCAGTCAGATAATGAGGTTAGTTACTACATGTATGTTTCTTGGATGATTGATGAGACCAACATAATATGACCACAATCAGAAAGATAAATACTGAACATTAATAAAAGTGCTTCATTGCACTTCCTGTGTTTTGAAATTAACTTAAGTGAAAGTTGTTATAGCGAGACACAATTTAAATTTTCCGTTTTCACTTTGATGCAAAAATAATCGAACCCACAACTTCCTGCTTCCTTGTGCAGATGTGGTAAGATGTCTGCACTTTAATTAACCCTAACCCTCCAGGGTATTTTGGCTAGAAACCCTGCCAAACGCAGCAACATGCAACACTTGTCAAAATGACAAGCCTGCCCAGTGTAGCAAGATCCATCAGGCCAAAAGTCTCAAGGCCAAACTGCCTCAGAGTCTGTGGTCACCAAATGCAGCAGGATACAACTCTGGCATTGTTCTATGGGACTAGCTCTCAGTGTCTCAGAAGTGGTCGTTCATGCACTGGTGTTGGTATCATTTTCAATCAAAGTGCACCAGACTTTTCCACCTGATGCACTGTGATGCGTCTGGCAGGGTTAGGGTAGTAGGAGGTCGTGGGTTCGATTATTTTTGTCCCAGCCAAGTGATTTTTTTGCTAACCTTCCTGAAAATTCCCTATCCTTTAGTTTTGTGGAATTTTCCTTATTAAGACTGCAATGGTGTTTCATAAATCTGCATTTTCAACAGAAAATTATGTCAATTTGCTGTGCTGCTCAACAGCCCCTCAAATTTATAATGAGCAGATGATACGGAAATCTAGATGAACATTTTTGTTTCAAGATTTTTTTGCTGGTAACATGTGATAGTACTGTGATAAAAATCAGAGATTATTTAACCCTATTTGAGTTGAATCATTGGTAAAAGATCTTACACAGATTGTACAGCTGGCATTTATGACAACAGCATGTATTCTTGAACTTTGAACTTGAACCTTGACATACCACAGGGAGTATGACACATAAGCAAGTCTGTGCATGCATTAGATTTATGGCATAGACATAGAACATACCTTTTGCAATACATACAATGTATATTGCACCTGTAGAACATGGGCTTGCTTGAAAGTCCTTGATTTTTTTTCTTCTGCGGTCCATTGAATGTTCAGACTACCTCATGGTCTAATGTATTTCTGGCACACGCCATTGTTTCGAAGATGACACACGCTAGAAAATTGATTGGAAAAAAATTAGAAGAATTAAATGTGAGGCAGGAATGACACAACTGTTCAGAATAATCGTAAAATGAAAGAAATTGCTTATGGGAAATTCCTAAAAAAAAAAAAAATGAAAGGGGTATTTTAATAAATGCCATTGCAAATATAATGTGTGTTTAAGGGTTTTTGTGGGAAATTTGAGTACAGCTAAAAATATTTTCCACAGGGTTCTATAAATGGAATTTAAATTGATTTTACAAATTCAGGGCATTGAATAATACAAATTTAGAGACAGACTATTGGTATTAAAAATGGAATAACCATTTGAAAAAATGGGTCTGGAAAATTGAATTGGGTGTTGTTTTTTTATTCATCACGGTAAAGTTTCCTTAAACATGCGTATTTTTCATATTGTGTCAGGAGAATTGTAATCATTGTTTGTCATGTAAGGATAAATCATGTCAGTGTTGTGATTAATGGAATTGGTGTGCTTTTTGTTTTTTCTTTTGTTCTTTATAAATTTGAGTTAAATTGTTCTGTTTTTTTTGTTTTTTTTGGTGGGTAGGGGTTTGATGATGACTCCTATTCAAGGTGCGATCTCCCCGAGAACCTCAGACGGAGAGGCTGCAAGGAAGATGGTCTCAACTTCCCCAAGAATAAACTCATAGAAGTGGAGGTGAGATCTAGGTCTCCTCATGATTCAGAATAACCACAGGCCAGCCATGGTAGATTACATGGAAAGAATTCCGTACACAGACGTCACTAATTTTTCCCTGCAATGACCTACCGGCCATCAGAAAGCGATAACACGTCGGTAAAAGTCAGATTTAGCAGGGAAAATATTGAAGCATTTAGAGAGAAAACACTTAGAATTTTTCAGACCAGTCTCATAGGGTTTGTGCACAGGGTGTCAAGTGACGTCCGTATATAGAATTCTTTCCGATTACAATAAGCTATATTCTTATCTTTTTGAAAGTTGGGACATTTATGCAAGTTGGTCATTTGTTTTCGTGGAAAATTTTGTCATATTTGTATTTCTTACTCGAAGATTAGAATATTTTTGCATGGATCTTACTTTGCTTCAGGTATGTGTTTTTGCCATTCGAAAGGTTCACACAACTGATCACCGGCACTAACATAATGTACATTTCTTTGCTAAGTTACTTATTCCGTTTAAAAGCAAAATTATGCTTTTATGAACATTTTATTGATAACACTTGAACACTTGTCGCTTCAGGCTTGAACTTGTCATATTTTATATAGGGATATTCCATGATATCTTTTCCTTCTGCAGCAATGTTTTTCTCTTCTTTTTTTCACAGCTTACCACAGACAGATGAGAAATTCTTAGACAAAAATTTGGAATCTAGACAAAACCACAAAAAATAGCCAAGAAAATGCAGTCCATGTGTTAGCCTTAGGGAGATCCGAACTCGTCACGTTTTGACGAAGACCAAAGTGGTATATGTACCACCACAACATCTCAACATAAAGATCACCCTTTGTGTCAGTTCTTTCACTTTGTGTTAGTTGACTTATTTGTTTCTTTCACTTAGACATTTGCCTATGGGATCAAAAGTCATTGGTACATTTAAGGATTTTTTTTCTCTTGGTTGTAGGCCAAACCTCTGAGTGACGCAGGAGATGCGGGAGAAATTGTCCAAGTTAACCCACAGAAGCTATTTCTTCAGATGAGACCAGGTATTGTGGACATTTACTTTAAACTCTAATCTCATGCCCCAAGTCCTTCAAAATTCACCGGGAGGTTTTGTAGGACGAATTTTACTAGTTTTTGTTGCACTTGTAAGTTTCAGACTTTCTCCAAAGATCTCAGTGTTGAACTGAAGTTATGAATGTGTGTCGGAAGTTCCCCTTTCAAACAAAAGTAATTTGGTAATATTTCTCAACGATGCAGTCCAGCAATTGAAGTCTAATAATGTCAGTTTGTTGCCAGGTTTTAGAAGAAAGTTTACAAGAAATTGTTTTTCATTGCTTGTGTGTCTCCTGGTAGAAGACAAAACTTTAAAGTAATGTAGACAGGGAGTTGTACTATTCCTGGGTCTAGGGCACTGATGGCAGCTCAGGGGGTAGGTAGGGCAAAAATGTTGGTCCGTGACAAGTGATATATCTCTGTTGGTTGCTTTGCCTAGTGCTTTTTTTTGTTAACTACAAACTATTTCAGGTCCCAGAGGTTATCAGGATCAATGGCTAGACTCTATTGTGAGCAGAGAAACAAACTCAATTTCGCCTCAACAGAATTATCTCAGTGTCGCCACCCGTCATATACACCACCATTAAACCATTGAGACCGTATTGATAAAAGCACTCTTAAAAAAATCTACCAATAGGGTAGTGTAATGAAATCAGGGCTTTTGGGCCATGTTGAAGTTGTTCGAAGGAAATCGGGACAATGGGGAGCCCTCAGAAATGGTCTGGTTCCCTGATTGTCGTTGACCTGTGTTTCAAGGTTGAAGGAGTCCGGACAATAGATTGGGCTGGTGGGTAGGTTCAAATTGTAAGGCCTGTGCTGTCAGCGTGCTTGGCCTGAATGGGAAGTTGTGCATGAATTTTTCTTTTTTTAGTCCGACAATTTCAGGGTTTTAAAAACAGGAAACTCTATATTTTCATTCGTGATTTATGAAAAGGGTGGATTTCTTTTTAGTTTTCAACACACGGAAACTCATGTCTGGGCTGACAAATCACTAAAACATCTTTTTTTTTTAAACAAACCTCTGGGTTTTGTTTTTTTAAATATAATTGTCATGGTTTAAGTTTCAGTGTATTCTTCCATATGACATGTTTTGATGATGCTGTATAGTAAATGTACTGTACTATAAACATTGCATTCGTAAAAGTTGCGATATGTGTCATCACGTATTGGAGCCTTTAAAAATAACAAATCTAGAAACTAACTATGAGGCCGAATAAAAAAAAACATGTTTCTCGTCCGGGTTTTCGAAAAAAAAGGAGGAAGCGGGGCTTTTTATTTTTTATTTGTTTCAAGATGGCCGCCATTTAAAAATTTCCTGCAATTGTTGGTGTTTCCACTGTTCAAAGACACTTTTAAAATGAAAGATAAGTTGGACAAGAGAACTGAACATACATGTATTTACAGTGTCATTTAGACTTGTATTGGTCCACAATTTATTTCCGATGAATTTGTGGACTTTTTCGGTGTTTTTTTACTGCATTTTTCAAAAATAAAAAATAATAAAAAAATCCAGGCGGCCTCCAAAAAGGAAGCGGGCGGGGACGAGCAACATGTTTTGTTTTTTTACTTCGCCTAAATGAAATGAAAGTGTTATGGAATGTTCATCCAATGGTATTCAGCATTGTGGCATGGCCAGACATAATGTGATCCATAATACCTCAAGCACTCTTGCTAGGATCTTCGCGAATCCGACACTGCATTAAGGAGGGCATGCAGAAGTAGAAAATAATAGATGTCAGATGTAATTGAGACAGGAAAAAAAAGAAAACCCAAAACTTACAGCATGACCCTTGTTGTAGAGAGGCCTGCGGATGGGTTCAGTTATACTGAAAGATATTTGCTTGACATTATTTATTGGTTTGTTTTTCCAGGTGAGCCTACCAGGGTTCAGTTGAACATCCGGCAAGCTGAGGATTTTCCTGTGGATTTATATTACGTGATGGACCTGTCACAGTCTATGGCCAACGACTTGGACAGCTTAAAGGGGCTCGGCGATAAACTTGGTTAGTAATTTTATAAACCAAAGAACTTTAACCCTAAATGATGGCTCATATTCAAGAGGGAAAGTGAAAATGATTTTGTGACATCAGGACAGGTTTTGACATTACAAATTGATATAAAATGCAGCACCAGCTAAATTTCATGTGGATTGTATTTTGTTTCCCACACAAGGAAATTCATGCCCTAACATTCTGAGTTGTTATAAACCTAAAAAAATAATTACCAAAAGTGAGAAAAAAAAAATATATTTATTGTTATGGTCAGTTATTGGGAATTTTTCGGCAATTTTCAGAGAAAGCAAGAGAGAGATGTATGATGTTTTGAGCTTGTTGAATTTTAGAGACGCTATGATGGCATACAGTATACAGGGTGAGTGAAAAAAAAGGAAACCCAAATGGTGCCCCCTATTTTGTAAAGAAGTTCTGCATGTAGGGCTTCCCAGATCTAGGATGTGAAAGACCAATTAATAAGCTTTCTTTTAATACAAGAATCATTCGGATCACTCATGTACTTTTTGAGTTACGGAATTTTGAACACTAAGTCACAAACACGGTTTTATAATTTTACCCACGGATCTCATTTAAGGTATGTGATATTTCAGTAAAATGAAACCATGTCGTATCATGAAAACGATATCAGAATAATCCCATAAGTTTCCGGGGTAGGCAAATAGAAGGCAGGGCAAGACTATAAACTGTTGACATTATAAAGTATATTGTTTTAACATTGGAAGCAGAAGGTGTTTATGATAAGTGCCAGTAATATGAGAGTGTTATGATATTTTTTTTGGGACATGTGAATTGTTTTCGTTTAGCTGAAATATCTCTTCCTTTTATTGTGATCCGTGGACAAAATTATAAAACTGTGTTTGTGTTTAAAAGTCCATAACATGAAATGTACATGAGTGATATGAACAATTCTTTTACTAAAATAGAGCTTATTAATTGGGCTTTTACAATCTAGATCTTGAACGTGCTACATGCAGAACTTCTTCACAAAATCGCGGGCGCCATGTGGGTTTTTTTTATTTTGACTCGCCCTGTACAGCACAATAGCTTTGTATTTTATGACAGATCACTCACGACGGGTACAGGGTATTGTTTAACCATAAATGACACAGGACAAGTAAAACCTACAAACAAATACTGTAAACAAATCCTGTATAAACATTCCGACAGACGAAATATTCACCCAACTGTCAACAATTTGGGGTCGTGAGTACATGTACAGGGCACTGTGTAACCCAAGACATGCACCAATGGCCAAGCGATTAATGGATAATTTTCCAGTTAAATATACATCATCGTCCCGGGTCCTCGTTTCATCTGCTATGCTCATCATCATCACAATCTTCATCGTCTTGAGTTTAGAGTGAATTGCTGTGGCATATGTTACTTGCATTATCCTATTCTGTTTTGAGTGTTTGTAAAAGAATATCAATGCCATGAATTGGTTATTTAAAAGGCCTACCATCAGATTGCTTACAGTTACTCAGAAATTGTCTTATTGAATAATTATTAAGAACCTTACTTGAAGTAACCTTGTGGATTTCACAATAAGGAAGAATGTATTAATTTCCAATGTTTCCTCAAATATATCAATATTTTCGACATTGTATTTTTATCTCACCAGTTCTTGGAAACAGTAAAATTATGACATTGAAATGATTCCATAGATCCCAAGTTTTGATGTCAAATCTTTTTCAAGCAAGATATTTTTTTCTTTTTGCCTTAGTTTGCCGGTTTGAAAATAATGTTACATTTTGTGGATTTTACTCTTTCTTGTGTGTAGTAGAGACAAATTGAAATTGCCTCTGGGTGAGAAAAAAAAAATAAGGAGATTAATTTATTTGGTTCCTTCCTTCTTTTCCAGCCAAGGTCATGAAAAACATAACCAAAGATTTCCGACTAGGATACGGTGCTTTTGTCGACAAAGTAAAAATGCCATATGTGGACATCTTGGAAAGAAAGTAAGCATTTTAAAAAAACATACTATAAAAGAGAATCATAAATTACTCCATTCCATTAACCCTCGCCCTCAATCCTCCAAAGTCAACCAGCTGGTTTTGGAGGATTTTGGAGGATTGAGACATTCAGCCAGTTTTGTGCCAGTTGATGTTGGAAGATTATTATTATTATTATTATTATTTTATTTCTGGTAAAGAAACCAAGGAATCCTCAAGAGTGCGCTAGGCGCAAGCCTGAAGAAACCTGTAGAGAGAAGACGATGAGAACAAATTACAGTTTTAGAGGTGGGAGGAAAACCTCAGAAAAACATTCTGGGGCAAACCCACGGAATCGGGCAGGGACTGAAAACCCAATCCACATATTGGCCCAGGGGGGATTCCAACCCGGGTCACACTGGTGGAAGGTGAGGGAAGTACCACAACGCCGACCTGACTCCCCACAGACGCATTGTGTCGAGACCCTAAGTTGCACCCTGGGTTGTTTATGCTTAGCCACACACAGATAATGCCTAGTTTATACAAGATACCCGCACTGTTTCTGGATATCATCAGCAATTCCTCATTGTAGTACAGTGATTGTTGGAGGATTTTGAAGGATTGAAGCAGTGATCACCCCTCCACTGAACAAGTGCAAGAAAGAACGGATGATTTTTGAGGATTGAGGCTACATTCAATTTTTACATAGTGGCATTTGCAGGATTTTGAAGGATTGAGGATGGATCCTAGCCAAAAGGGCCTAGGTGGTTGGAGTTCATAATCCTTTCTTCAACAACCTAATAATTGTGTTCAAATTTATAGCCTAAACTGTCTATTCTTTATAATTGAAATTGTTACATTCGCGTTTGTAAAAAGTAACTCTTTGTTCAAATTTTCAGGTTACAGAATCCTTGCTTACACGGTGCAGTGTGTGTACCACCGTTTGGATTTAGAAATGTGCTTCCGCTAACATCAGAAACTAACAGATTTTCAGTAAGTGCAAAACCACATCTTTCCTTTTTTCAATACTACAACAGAGATGCAGTGTCACCGTTTAAATATTATAACACATACCGGATGTCAGTTCTCTGGTAAACGTTTTGCTCTGGTTTTGCATTTCAGGAAGAAATCGGGAAAGTTGACGCTTCAGGAAACCTGGATAACCCAGAAGGGGGCCTGGATGCCTTGATGCAAGCTACCGTTTGTAAGGTATGGAATTTCATAATGAAACAGGAGTAATGTGTGGTTCAATTTTTTCCTGTTTTGGAAAAGCTTACATTTTTTCCTATTTTGTATTTTTTTATTAGACTTAACTCGTAGAAATTTGAGTGATTCTTTTGAATTTCTGACATGTTTTAGTACATTGCGCGATTTTGGAAAATGTCCCTCGGTAGAATATTCCGCTAAGTACCACATAAATTCTTCTCAACATTATGAATAAGAAACCACTCTTTTGAGGCCTCCTTGTCAAGTTCGTAGTGAAAGATTCAAGACATCAAACAAAAACCAAATGAGTTTCAAACGTAAGGAGAAATAGACTTTTTAAATAAATTTTATACAACGCCTGGATAAATCCCAGTCGTCTGATTGGTGGGTTGTTGATCACGTGTCATTGAATTATTTGTCTCAACGCATGGCCCGGCCGCACCGCAAAAATAAAAGTTCTATTACACGGTAAAGAAAACTTCACACGGTCACACTTTTGGTTGCGCTTTCACACAACTCCGATAACTCTGATACATTCATAGTATCAGTTTACAAAGTGACCGATCAGATGACGAGGATTTATTCAGGCGTTGTATAAAACAAATAATGAATGTTTCACATTCGTGCGAAATGGAAAGAATAATTTCATGAGGTGACAGATGGAACAACTTTCCATCTGTCACCTCATGAAATTATTCTTACCATTGCACTCGTAACCATCCATGATTTGTATCATATTTGTAGGAAGAAATTGGTTGGAGGGACCGGGCAAGACACCTGTTGCTGTATTCCACTGACGCACCATTTCACATCGCTGGGGATGGCAAGGTAGGCCACTTCAAGACTTTTTGTTTACCTTTGCAAATTTAGACCGTTTTGTCTATTTGTCTTGTGTAGACCTTTGTTAAACTAAGGCTATATATGTTAAACTAAGGCTATATGATAGTATATCATTTCTATTTGATGTATCTATCACTTTGGTTTCTTATTTATGAGTTTTATGTTAAAAATCATCTTAAGTTTATTCCATTTTAGTCAAACATCTCTATTGTGTAAACACATGAACCATCACCAGCAAGAGTAACCATTGATAAATGTCTTCTCTTTTTTTAATTTGGATTGACAGCTTGCGGGTATTGTGAAACTGAACGATGGGAAATGTCACATGGATGCAGTGAGCATGGAATACTCAGCCTCCAGTGAGCAGGTCAGTGAACTATTAGCCTATCATCTCTGTTCCTGAACGTAAGAGGGCGATGTTTAGCCGGAAATAAATAAGTGATGGGCACATGCAAGCACATTCTGAAAATGAAAACTTGAAATGGCCCAGGTGAATTTGAAACTCTCGCTGGAAACTTGGTCCTTGTGCTATTACGTGCTAACCAGACTTGCACCCGTTCATGGATGTGTAACCGATCGCAAATAAAATGTTGACTACCTAAAATTGGTAATATTGTGAGGAATATTTAAAAATCTGACCATCTTTGCTAATTGATACAAAAATTCCACTTTTCTTGAAAATGACAGCACACCAGGTGCCATGATTTCACAGGATGCTTGAGAATATTATTCACTTACAGTCAAGTTAGTTATTTTATTATAGTTTGGTAGTTTTGTTTTTTGATGTTTGCAAATGTTGTATATTACATTTAAGTGACCTATGTACTTTCAGATATACACCTTGCACTTAGCAGGATATTCCTTTGCTCCAACAGAATTCATCCAATTAAATGCTCTCTTGATCCGTGTTTATCTTACAGGATTATCCGTCCATTAGCCAGCTTAGCGGCAAGATGCAAGAGAACAGCATCTTCCCTATATTTGCTATCGGCAGAGTACCGCCCGGTTCAGCAGACCCAATGGCATTTTACAGAGTAAGTCATAGTCTGGTTACCAGTGATTGGATGATGTGTCTGTTTGTTTGGTTTTTTTTTTTTTTTTTTTCCCCCTAACCTCTCCAACTCCATCAAAATCCATCCCCCCCCCCCCCATTTTGGTGGATTTTGGGGGAACTGGTCCTGCAGGCCTGGTTTGTCTAAATATTGATGGAGTGTGATGGACTTGGGCCTGAAGGCCTAAAGCAAAGCATGCATTGGAAGCACTGTGATTGAAGGCTTTTTGGCGGACTTGGTCCAGTACTTAGTAAAAGACAGTTGGGGTTAATACGAGCATGCTGATATTTGGTTGGCTGATACAAAATAACTCCAAGCTAGTTTTATTGATTCATTGGACCAATTTCCATTTTTAAATTTTTTTTTTTGGCCTTTCCCAGGATTTACCCAAGTTCTTTCATGAGAGCGAGGTGAACCGGTTGACAGAAGATTCCTCCAACGTCGTGGAACTTGTCGAAGATGTATATCGTGTAAGTAGAGTAAAATGTCACTGTTGACTGAGTTTGACTAGCCACAGTTGACTGCTGGTGACTAGCCTCACGGTGTTAACAGTATATCAGGGGAAGTGGATGGAAAACTTTGACTGTCTGTGCTGTTTACAATAGCAGAAGGGTTAGTCATGGATCTCTTTGTTTTACTTTTTGACAGAATATCACGTCTGGTGTGAAGGTTGAGGACGATGCCCCTGCCGATCTGTTTGGCGTCGAGTACACAGCAACGTGCGTAGATGGCATACCGCACAAAGGAATGCAAGAATGTAGCGGTCTGCAACTCGGCGACAACGTCACGTTCTCGTTGGACATCACCATGACCAACAAAACCTGTGACATGCCAATGAAAAATTTCACGTAGGTTCTTCCGAGTTTGAAATGAGAAAAAGATCGCGTCATGCGTTGTCAGCTTTGCCTTGGATTGTCTCTTCTAGTGGTCTCCCCCAACTCTCCCTTTCTTGCCGTTGAGGGGGTACTTGTACACTGAGCCCATAGGAAGTGGATTCAGCCATAAGCATGTAATGATATATCATTGTCAGCTGTATTCAAGAAGTTCGGACGCAGCCTAACTATGCCTTCAGCCACAATTAAATTATATTCAAGTCTCTTTATTTTTCTTGCCATTGTCAGGTTCTCTGTAGGCCCAACAGCATTCAAGGAATCTCTTCAGATCACCATCCAGGCAATATGTGATTGTGCCTGCTCAGAGGAAAGGGTAAGTCTGATTCACATCTCAAAGGCAAATTTGTATAACTCTCTTTCTTGAGAGCAGAGCCAGGTACTCGATGACACAAGGCTGATTCAGTGCAAGAGCGAAGGTGAACACAAAAGTTTTATGTCACGGATAATTTTCGCACAGCAAATTCACATCCGGAATTGTTTTGGGCGATTTCAAATTCACCTTGCATTCACATTCGCCTGTATTAACAGGTATGGGTTAATGTAGTTTTGTCTTTATTTGTTGCAGCTGGAAGGACCAGACATCTGCAATGGCAATGGGACCCAGGTCTGCGGCGGCTGCCAATGTTTCCCCCAACGCTCTGGTGCTAAATGCACCTGTGACAAGGAGGAAGCAGAGGGCATCGACCCCGCCTGCGTATGGTAATCACAACAGAGTTTGTTTTGGGCGATTCCAGTGTTATGTAATGTCCACGACAGAGTTTTGAAGAGCTCAGTGAATGGGGTCCGTGAGCCAACAAAAGAGGGTGCCCTTTTAGCTAGCAACGACGTCCCATGGGCGGGACATTTAGCTGGTTGACGCGCACCGTTCCTTGTGTGTGACGCACGTACACCAGGGGATTTGTACTATGTACACGCAGTGGTACGGCTGTGCGTCGCGGCAAGATGGCGTCAGTCGGTCACCCCCAACTGTGTTTTCTTTGCCGGTGAGGGGGTACTTGTGAACGGAGCGGATAACCCTGATATGTAATTTCTCAAAACCTTATACATCCATCATCTAGGAAAGGTCAAGGAGATTACAAAGTAGAAGTTCGGGGTCATATTTCTGTGAATCATTAATAATCCATTATCATGTTGCGGCCTTCATGATTTTTTCCCCATTCAAATCAACGTAACCAAAGCGAGGCTGGAAGGAAAAATAGTCTGGTTCCTTGTTGCACAAAAACCATTATCATTCAGTATTGTTATTGGACACACGGAACATGACTGCAATGGTGGCAGCATGATAAAGGTCTATTAGATATCAGGGTTAATTGGCTCTGTCATGGACATTACACTAATGCTGGAATTGCTAAGTAGGGGCGTATCTAGGTTTTTGATCAGGGCGAAGGGGGGGGGGGGGGTGGGTAGTAGTCTGAGTATCATCGGTTGTTCAACGGAGCCCACAAGCTCTGCAACAACGTCTGATATATGTGAGCATTGGAAATTTTATGCGACCCTTGCGTGCCAGCCAGTCGGAGTCAACGTTAGAAATAGTGATGTCCTTCGATCAGTAACTCGGCCTAAACTATTGATCGGTCAATTAACGTGGAGCGCTGTGGTCCAATGGTTACGGTGTTCGGCTCACTTGCCAAGGTACGTGGGTTCGAACCGGGACGGGGAACATAGTGCTTGTGTTCTTGGGCAAGACACTTAACTACAATTGCCTCTCTCTACCCAGGAGTATAAATGGGTACCTGTGAAGGTAGAGACCAGATTGCGCTGATCTTGAGCTGCTGCAGAAAATGGTCTCATGGCCTGATGAACAGGGGTAATAATTGTGAAGCGCTTTGAGACCTTTGGTATAAAGTGCTATATAAGCACTATATTATTATAGCTGCCATGCTTTTGTAATGCTACAATGGGTTACTGAAGACCCAATAAAAGGCGCCCGCTGAATGGTCAGAATCTCGAGGTCAAGACGCAGTCTTGTTTTGCATAATTAATCGCCAAATCTGTGCGCATATCTTAAAAGCTTGCTTTGCAAGTGGCTATTCCATATACGGGGGGGGGGGGGGGGGGGGTTTGAGTAATTTTTTTATCAAAAAAAGTGGCCATAATTTTCTTCGTAAATTTTTTTTACAAAAATGGTAGTAAAAACTACTTATAGTAGAGCATGTGAGCCTTTGTGAGGTGCTGGTATTTTGTTTCGTTTCAACAAGAAAATATTGACAATTTTGTGTGTGTGTTTATTTTCTACCAGGCAAAACAGCACAGTGGAATGCTCTGACAGGGGAAATTGTGAGTGTGGAAAATGCCTGTGCAATACCAGAACAGTAAGTATCGTGTGACTTTTATTCCTCGCAAGGTCTTTCGAAAACACCAAGGAACACAGTTTATAAATTTACACCTGGGAAGGACGAGGCCACAGCACTCCAGAAAGAGCAGGAGTAATATGTAAAGCGCCTTGATCTTAAAAGGACTATGTCTTATACCCATTTTTATCTTAGAACCCTGTGGAGGAAATTTACGGAGACCAGTGCCAGTGTGACACTTACTCCTGTGAGCTCTACAAGAAGCTCCCCTGCGGGGGACCGACCAGGGGTGATTGCAAATGCAACAACGTCACGGGCTTAAATTACTGCCAATGTAAAGATGGATGGTCGGGCAGTAACTGTGGGTGCGAGGAGAATTCCAAGAAATGTATCTCTCCGGATGGGGTGAGTTTTCGGGTTTCTTCTGGTTCTGCTGTTTTGCATAAACAACATGTTTTGCATAAAGTTTGACTAAAATTGGTTGATGTGGATTAAATAAATGCGATGTCGCGCACTGATCCGACGAATTATAGCAACCGCGCGGGCGTGTACGTCGTGCCAATGCTTGCGCGCGCTTCGCCCAATAACAAATTGAACTACTAATGTGAATTTCCTACGGTCCCTTAAGATGCACCGTTGGAAAGGCCTTCCTTCGTTGATTTCTTCAAAATGACAGCTTGCCAGAGAGAATCAATTCACAGGGTGTTTTGCTATCTTTCAACCAAGAATGTTTTTCAACAATAATTACGTGAGCTACTTTTTGGATAGCTGCAAATGATGGACTCTGGCTTTAAACTAAGGTTTCATTCATGCTGCCTCCTCAGAGTGGAAATAAATGTTTATGAATTGAATGTTGTGTTGTTGTTACCAGCTTGTGTGCAGCAACGTGGGTGTTTGCGAGTGCGGCAAGTGCAGCTGCAACGACACCAAGAAATACAGAGGAGCGACGTGCCAAAACTGTGATGTAAGTGACATCAAAGTAGAACCGAATGCTGTCATTGTCTTTCAATTTTTCATGTAGACTGAAGGAAATGAGGAAAGCAATACATTACTCTCAGAAAAAAAAGTAATAATATGTGACCTGTTCTGTCAAAATCAGACTTTTCTGGGCATAAGGTCGAAAATGAGATTTTTGCATATTGTTGAAATATGTACGTTTTCCTTTTAATTGGTGGTTTAGTTTTTGAAACCGGTCATTCCTGGGCAGAGTTATGCTATTTTGAAGTTCATTGTGTCGAAAAGTAGAAGACGTAGAAAATGGCCACGAACGTCACAAAACAGACATTTCTTTAATTAATATACCTCAACAAATCATCAAAAATACTATATTTAGAGTTCAAATTAGGGTTTCAAACTTTTATAGTATCTTTTAGACATGTTCAGGATTACAAATATGCAAGAATTAGAAAATCGATAAAAATCCCCCCCCCCCCCCCCCCCAGCGTTTTTTGGCCTATCTCAATTTCAACCTCTGCCCAGAAGTGTCTGCTTTTGACAGAACAGGTCACATATGACAGATATTTTTTTTATATTGTAAGTTGGACAATTTCTTGGTTTAAGTATTTTACAAGCAGATACTGTAAAAAAAAAATTGAAATTGTGGCAATTTCTTGTTATATTGAATTCACATTGAATTTACATCATCCTTACGCAAATTCCGTCTTATGAATAGTACTTTTTATATGGTATTTATTTCTGGTATATATGACGATTGGTGATAAAAACCTGTGTCCTCTCTGAGTGATCCCTGTTTCCTATTTGTTTGCTCTCAATGCTAGTATTATGACTGGGTGTGATCCCCGGCTACAATCAGTATACAGGTTTATGGCTTCTGACAAACGCCCTTGAATAAAGACATTGACACACTGGGAAACTGCCAGCATGGGGCTGGATGGCTCAGTTGGTTGAGCACCAGGACAGTGTTCTGAAGGTCGCGGGTTCAAACCCCACTCCAGTCCATTTCTTTGTTAAACTTAAAAATGGAAAATGTATTGATAGTTTCCTTTAAAGGGAATGTACATCATTGGCCTTTGCTGTAATTTTCAGCAATGAAGTATTTGAGGGGTTAGTATATAAAGATCAAATATTGTTACACTGACATGTTTGAAGTTTTGTGTTCAAAAATGCAGGAAAAACCAAGAAAAACAAAAATGTTCAAGTAGTCTGGTTCCCTGACTCCACTAAAAATAAATTGGATCAATTTATAGATGCCGGAAAATTGTAAGGTAAGGGAACCAGTCTAGCTGGCCTGCACCCGTTCATAAACATGTAACCAATAGCAAACAAAATTTGAACTGAAAAAAATGGTACATTTGGAGCAAAAATTGAAAAAATAGTTAGGTTTTTCCAACAGTGGTCGGCCGACCACCATTGGAAATGTATACAAAAATACCATTTTCTTGAAAATGACTTCACACCAGGTACCATAATTTTACAGGATGCTTTAGACTGTCATTTACCAACATCCTAGTAAAGTATTTTGTAAAAACTTGGTAGTTTTATTTTTCGATGTTTGCAAATGTTGTATAAAAATATTCCCTTTAAACACTCTGAGCGAAAATATGGAATGTATCAGATATGAGTTCAGAGACATGTTTACCTCCTCCTACTTCAATGCAATTTTTCCTTGATTTTACTTGACAGAGTTGCCCTAGCGAGTGCGATCTTCACAAACCCTGCGTACAATGCAAAGTTTACAAGACGGGAAAGTACAAGGACAACCCAGAGGCGTGCAACAGCTGCCCTCACGAAGTGGAGGTGTTCGAAGAATTGCCAAACCGAGAAAGTACCGGTAGGTGGTTATGTCTGAATCACTCGTAGTTCATCCAGAAAATGAACTACAGTCGACTCTCGTTAGTAAACACTGTTAATACAAATTCTGGTTATAGCAAACACAAAGCCTTGGTCCGGACTGTGCATTTTTGTGCACAATGAATGGGACTGATGTTCCTCTTAATACAAAATTCTAATACATAACAAACAATTTGGCTAGGTCCGAACGAGTTTGTATTAATGAGAGTCGACTGTAGTTACTCGAAATAATTAAGAATAATTTGCTTCCTTTCGTTTCCCGAAAACAAAGTTTGTTTAAAGTGCCATCTTTGTTTGGTTGCAAGCGCTCTTAGTGGTTACTGATGCGAGTTCATTTGAGTCAGCTACGATTGACAGATATTGATTATATTTTTTTTTTGAAAATTATTGTGAACAGCACAACTGACAAATCAAGCAATTCTGATTAACATGTGTTCTGATTTTAATCAATTCCATCTTTTGAGTTGATATTGATTTTTTTCCTACCCCTGCTGATAGATTGGACACATTTTGTCCAATCGTATCTGGTTTATTCATGTTCAGATTTTTATTATAATTATTGAATTTCTCACCTAATCATTTTCATTTGATCACAAAATTTAATTTTGCAGACCGCATTTCGTGCGTGTTCAAGGATGAGAACAACTGTAACTTTGAGTTCACATATCGGAAGCTGGGCGAAGGCAACATTGAACTGCAAGCAGTAGAGGAGCCAAGTACGTAACAGTCTTTGAACGAATACATAAAGTGTATTATTATTTACAAGCTGATTTACCCGATCATAGATCGGGTAGGGCGTAGTGTTGGGGATGAAAATGTGGGGAATAAAATGTAAATGGGGGATATAGTTGGGGAGACATGCAGTTATAGAAAAGCAATTTCTGTGGTGTGATCTGAGGCAATTTCTGACCACTAAAACCAAAGAGCATCTTTTAAAGTTTTGAGTTTGGAGTAATTGAATCCGCTACATGTATTCAGAGCAATAGAATCATTATTGTAGGCTACAATATTTTTATTTGGGGAAGAAAAAGTGGGGGGGGGGGGCACCAAAAAATGCCCCCGCCTCAAAATGTGTGTGTGTGTGTGGGGGGGGGGGGGATGGGGGTGGGGTGGGGTTGGGTTCCCCCTGTCCCCCGTCGATTTACACACATGATAATTATGTACCGTGGCAACTGTCTGTAAATGTTGCCGTTGGTCTGTTAAATTGGCTTTTTGTGAGGCAGTCGAATTTGGAAAACGTAGTGAAAAGGTTACTGTAGTACACAGGCGAAGGCTGGTTTAAATCATAATGCAATAAAACGTGAAGGTGTCATTTGAAATGAAAATGTTGAGTGTTACCATAAAATTACAAACGGTCTGAATCATGGAGGAAGGTCATAATTAAGTTTCAGTATTGGACTCTTCAACAAACGCAAACTTGAACTTCTAACAATTTGCGAGACCGTTTTGACAATAAGTCATAATGCAATAAAACGTGAAGGTGTCATTTGAAATGAAAATGTTGAGTGTTAACATAAAACTACAAACGGTCTGAATCATGGAGGAAGGTCATAATTAAGTTTCAGTATTGTTCTCTTCAACAAACGTAAACTTGAACTTCTTACAATTTGCGAGACCGTCTGCGAGGAAAAAGTCGAGTCAACTTTTATTCAAGTTGGTTCAACCATCTATATAATAGCAAGTTTTACTCGGCCTCCGAGAAATGTTTGCTCCTGAAAGGATCCGAGACCGCGGCTTCACGTCCGTGGAAAAAATGTGGAGGGTGTGTTCCACCGGGTCGGACACTATTTTGTCGATTTTTTGTGACAGCGTTTAAGATCGCGGTATTTTAAGCAATGCATCGATCCTTCGTTGATCCAAAACAGGCCCCCATTACAACGCGACACTGAATTATTCGTGGCGGGCAGCGAACTCACAACGGTCAGCCTTGGTGGAAGCATGGAGCTGTATTAACACACGATGGAAGCAACAGAGCACTATACACGTCACTCACATGCTTGTGCTTCAAATCATGCAAATAGCGAGCACCGTAGACTCAACCTCGTTTCCAGGGTGTGGAGCAGGCTGCAGTACGCGTTGCCAGTGACGGTTTTACGTATAGCCGGGAAGTACCACGCAGTGTAGACTTTCGATTGGTCAGACCGCGCTAGGCATACTAATGTGTAGTCCTTCTGAGTATTCGTTGCACTCGGCGCAGGGGCGGCAAGCGAAGCATATGAAAGAATAGGGACACTTTGTGGCCACGCACCATGGACAAAAAATATTTTACCAAGGTCACCCCATACTAACGTTTGGTAAACGCTTTTGCAGAGGGGCCGAGTAGAACACGTAAACGAAACCCCTACGTTGACCTCGCTGACCTCGCACAGTCTAGACATGCAGAAAAGCCAGCACGGGGGGCGGCCAGGCAGTCAACGTGAAAGCGCACACGACGGCAAATTCCTGTGCAAAATCCAGTCACGAAAAATCGACGAAACGGATCGCCGGTCCGTACGGGAAAATTAGGACGACCCGAAGCGTCCGACCCGGCGGAAGACACCCTCCGCATTTTTCCACGGACGTGGAGCGATTTTGGGGCCGCGGGAGCCCGCGGTCTCGGATCCTTTCAGGAGCAAACATCGTCTCGGGGGCGAGTAAACTTCTCTCTTATATATATAGATATCAGGCTTCCGGCGGTAAAAATAAATGAGCATATTGTATGCTTTCATAAAAAGTTGACTGCAATAACATTGTTATTGCAGTCAATCCGGGCATTTTCACAGGTTCCCGATTGATCAAGAGCATAGAAAGTCACAGTTGTCAACCACTCAACAGAGCGTAGCGCGCGCGTACACCGTCGAACACGGAACACGCCGCGCGCATGCAGCGCGCGCAGAAGGCCAGGTATACGCACACTGTTGTTAACAATTACAGTGGCAGCTTCAAAACGTTTGATGTAAACGAAAAAGATGTAATGAAGACAGTGTCTTGAATTGTGCTTCTTGCGGATCAAGTCAGCCTGATATAAATAATAATAGTAATATTGGATGGCTTGTTTTCGGTGGATACAAGAATATATTGCACTCGCTGTGACAATATATTCTTGTATCCACCTCAAAGCCATCCAATATTATATAAATATCCATTGAGCTGAAACTTCAGCAGGAATAGGTTTTGAACATGCTTCTTTGGATTTTGAGTGGTGTTATTATTGGAAACGAACAAAATGCATGAAAACGCTAATGATCTTATATGCCTTTAAATTTGGTTTTTCAGGTTGCCCGCTGGTGGCCGATGTGTTATGGATCATAGATTTTGAGCGTTCTTTGGATTTGAGTTGTGTTATTATTGGAAACGAACAAAATGCATGAAAAAGCAAATGATCCTGCCTTTGAAGTTGGTCTTCAGGTTGTCCACGTGTAGCTGATTATGGATAAAAGGTTTCAAATGTTCTTCTTTGGATTTTGAGTGGTGTTATTATTGGAAACGGACAAAATCCATGACAACACATGATCCTAATTGCCTTTAAATTTGGTTTTCCAGTTGTCCACGTGCAGCTGATTTGTTAAGGATCATAGATTTTGAACGTTCTTCTTTGGATTTTGAGTGGCGTTATTATTGGAAACAAACAAAATACATGGAAAAGCAAATGATCCTATATGCCTTTAAAGGAAAATACATCATTTGCTTTTGCTGTAATTTTCAGAAATGGATGGAATTGGGGGTTGGAAATATATAGCAAATATAGTTACACTGACTTTTTTGAGGTTTTGGGTTCGAAAATGCTATAAAAACCAAGAAAAACAATCATGTTCCTGTAGTCTGGTTCCCTGACTCCATATAAGAAGAAACAGAGCAGTTTACATACATTGGGGAATTGTAAGGTCAGGGAACCAGTCTAGTTGGCTTGTACCCGTTCATAGGTGTGTAATCGATTGCAAACAAGTGCGATGGTCAATTGGGGCCAGTATTTGGGGAAAAAAGCCAGTTTTTTCCAACGCTGGTCGGCCGACCAAATTGATACAAAAATACCACTTTTCTTGAAAATGACAGTATACCAGGTGCCATGATTTTACAGGATGCTTTACACTGTCATTCACTAACAGTCCAGCAAGGTATTTCAAAATGATTTGGTAGTTTTATTTTTTGATGTTTGCAAATGTTGTATTTTCCCTTTAAATTTGGTTTTTCAGGTTGCCCGCTGGTTGCTGATGTGTTGTGGATCATCATCGGCATCATCATCGGAATCATCCTAGTGGGCATCGCCCTGCTCCTCATCTGGCGTCTCCTGACCTACATCCACGACAGGAGAGAGTTCCAACAGTTCGAGAAGGAAAGGACCAACGCCCAGTGGGAAGCGGTGAGTTCCAAAACCATTTGGATTCCTAAGCATTCTTTTGTGAAACGGTTTTGTTTTAAATCAAGAATTACAGCTGGTTCATAGTTCATGTGAATGCCAAGCAAATTTGATGTCTAGAAAGGTTCACAGCAAAATTCGGTGGGAATTAAACAATTTTCCTTCATGAATACATGTACATGTACGTGCCATGGCATCACAAAACTAGCCTTGAAATGTGGATTTCAGATTTGCATATTAACCCTAACCACCCTAACTCCATCAAAATCCAGCCCCCCATTTGGTGGATTTCAGGGAACTTAAGGTCCAGAAGGCCTGGCGTGACTAAATATTGATGGAGTTTGATGGACTTGGGCCTAATGGCATGCAGCAGTGCTAGGGGTATCCGATTGATTTTGCCTAGCTTCCTGTACTGCTATTGTGATAAAAGCCATGTGTAGCCCATAAATGTTAACCAGTGCGTCAGTGGTAGATTCCATTATGTCATGTACAGTTTTGAATTAGACGCACAGTGAGTGATGGATTTTGATGGAATTGGTCCAGTTCCTAGTAAAAGACGCTAGGGAGTTAGGGATAAAGATTTTTTTATTGACATGGATAGTTACATTCCTGGTACATCGGAGCACTTTGTTGCCTTGCATGTGGACTGTTTTCAATTGAATATATAACCCCATGGTGCCTTTGCGAGAGATAAATGCACCCAAGAATCAGCACTCAGCAAAAACAACACTCAAGTGTGCTTCAGTTATAGATATCTGTTGAATTTGTGGGCGAGGAGGGTGTAGTCATTGAAAGGACTGAATGATTGGTCGGATAAATATTTACTTTTCTCTCTTTTATTTCTTGGTTTACCCATCAGGGAGAGAACCCCATCTACAAGCCGTCAACGTCAGTATTCAAAAACCCAACCTACGGCAAATAACTGCCGACTGCGGCACTCACTTAGGTCCTCACTTAATGACTTGCATGTCAAAAACTGACGAAGCTTCTCTCTGGAACATCTCGTGAGAGGTAGACTTCCCCACCGTCCTCGTAAAGTTATCTCCCGTTTTGGAGAAACGCTTCAGAAGTGGGTTTTTATTCTGATTAACGCTCCTAGATCCTTCAATATCTACCACGAGGTTTTGGGTTTTTGCAGAATTGAAAAGGTAGAGCTCAGCAGCAGCAATATGCAACACTTGTCAAAATGACAAGCCTGCTCAGTGTAGCAAGATCCATCATGTCAAAAGTCTCAAGGCCAAACTGCCTCAGCGTCTGTGGTCACCAACTGCAGCAGGATACAACTGTTGTATTGTTCAATGGGACTAGCTCCTATTGTGTCAGAATCGCTCTGGTGTTGATGGTTCAATAAAGAAAGGTCCCGCAGATTTTTTCACCTGATGCACTGTGTTGCGTCTGGCAGGGTTAGGGTTAACTTAAAATGAGGCTTGATGCTCCTTTTAAAACAAAGAAGGTGCTCATTTGGCTTCTGCAAAGTGGTGGATTTTGAAGGATTTAGGAAGATTCCTAGTCAAAAATGCTGGGAAGCAAGGGCTCATGGGAATGTTATTTGTATATGTGTAAGGATATCGTGAATTGTTTCGATATTGTGAGTGTCCGTGTGTCTGTGGATGGATTTGTACACGTGTGGTGAGTGTGTATATGTGTGATGCTTGTAATGTGTGTGGTTATGTAACTCAGTCATTGTCGATCCTGTTAAGGGTTTTTATGACAGAGAAGAACTTGTAATCAATTAATACATTTGTAATAAAGCTTTGCTTGGAAAATATGCATTACGTACCTAAATGCTATACCAGAATGGGGACTTTTGGGGCATTTCTACGCAACTAAATCTTGCAATATTCTGAAGCTGTGGAGTGTATTTGAGTCTGAGTGTTTATGTGAATTGATGGTGCCTGTTAGTTTTTACTTATGCACCTGAACTACAGCTGTGAGTATGCTTATTTAGTATTCAAAGCCCTATCGGTTTCCTTTGCTCTAAATTACTTCCCTTTTTCTTTTCTTTTTTTTCAAAAAATAATTTTGAGGAGTGAACTAAACAAAAATTTCAACCCCGGTGGCTCTCACCTGGATTAATATTTGAATTTTTTTGAATGCGGTCAAGAAATTTTCAAAAATTGTCATAAGGTTGAAAAAGGGTCTTCCCCTTTATGTCAAACTGCAGATGCAAATTATTTTTTGCTCGACCTTGGGAACAATTCTTACAATTGAATGTTACGGCTGTAATGTGCCATGAGGTAAGACCATTCATTGCCGTAAACTTGGTACAACTTTCAAGAACAAAATAAAAACTATAAATTTCGTTAATGTTTCTGAGAGGATGCTTTGCCATGAATTCCAAAATGAAGCAAGAACTTTCAAATAACTTATTTTTTATTATATTGTATTGTGCAATTAATACAAGATGACGGATACAAAGGCCCCATCAAGCTTAAAAAAAAACACACAAAAAACACAATTGCAGTTTTAAAAAGAAACATTTACTTTGTACAACTCTGTAATTCACTTTTTTTTAACTTTATTTTGTACCTCTTCTGTCATTTCTATTACTAGATTGTATTTCTTCCTTTATTTAAACAGGGTTTCTTTAACAGTTTTGAAGAAAAAAATCCCTTCTCACAGAATTGTGTTATTTTGAATACAATTTGAATTCCCACATTTGGTTTAATTGATTTTAACCACAAGGGAAGATTTTAATACCCTTAAGATACTGTAAGCAGTCATATTATTGGTGGCTCGTATTTTAAAATGTAGAGTTGGACCTTGTTTTTATTATTTTTTTCTGGTGCTTTTAAGACAGCTTTTAGAACTGTGTAAATAACCTGCCTTGTATATTTTGTCTGTATGTTTTGGTCCAGTGTGTGAAGAGGAATGCGTCAAATTATCAAATCCACCCTTTGAAGTGGGAGATGAGGTTTTTATTGATAACAAAGTTTTAATTGTAATTGTTTGATTGTAAGCTTTTTTTAATTTTGAATTTTTAGCAAAAGTAGTACCATTGGTTTTTTTAATGGAAATTATTATCTTCCTTGGGTCAAGTTGAAGTTACTAGCCGAAATGGCAAGTGCTTTTTAGCTTGGATGAAAGTTTGTCCACAAGCTGTTCGGCATTTCAATTAGCTGGCCAATATTTTATGGTAACATCAGTGCCATTAAATTTGGCCCAAATTATTTTCCTGTATCTTTAGGGTTTTTCATAAGCTTGGATATATTTGTGAAGCCTTCAGTGTTCATATTTAAATCAGTATCCATCTGTTAGCTGGATACTGATTAGTATCCATCCATGATCTCATTAGCAGTGTTATTAAGCTTTTATGTCATGTTTTTAAAAAAGGTCAGCGTGGACAGTTTGAATTAAAACAAATTCAGTACAGTGAGATGACCGTGGTCCTGCAAATATATAAAATATTTAAACTTTCGTGTAGCAATGTACATTAAGGTAAACATTGGTATGCAGATTTTTTTCGAAGAAGTTTTGTTACTCGGGCACTAGGTTGTAAATTTGTGCCTTAGTAACTAGTAGTGTGTTAAAAGTTTAGGCTCTTGCTGTTTTGGCAATCAGTCCACACAACTTGAAAGTGAAGCAAACTGTTTTGGGGAAATGAATTTCTTTTTTTGGGAGGGGAAGGCGGTATGTTAGAGACTTGGTAAAATATAAAGGGACCTAGGTCATGGACTCTCAGTGTTTGAATCTACGATCAACAAAACCACAGCCTACGTAATGGTATGGTTACTTTCTTTTTGAATGATTCAGTGATTTGACTAACAAATATTTTGTTATTAAAACAGTATTAGTGAGATGAGAATTCAGACTAAATGTTGAACAAGTACTTTTGAAATTATGCAACGATTGAGATTGTATTGGTCACATATTTTAGTTCAGCAAGCATCAAAGATAACTGTTTTTCTGCTTTTTAATTGCCTTGAATTTGTAAAGCAACACCCTTGTGAAAATTTTAATAAGTTCACGGCATGCCTGTAACAAATTGATGCTGTTATGGTGGGGAAAAGCTGTAATGGAAGATGTATCGTTACATTTTATAATTGAAGGCAAACCATAGAGATAAGAGGAAATTAATATCTAGTGTAGGAATTTCAAAGCAGGACAATCCTCACAGCACTTTGGAATCACTTGTTGAAGCACTTTGAATTTCTTTGCATTGAAAACAGGTGCTTAATTTGAATTGAATAAGACGTCAACTTTTTCTAACAGAACAATCTTTTCTTCCTTATTTTCTTCCTTTCAGCAAGCAGGGCTTGTTGAAAAGTTATGTACCTTCCAATTACAATGCCTTCAATCTACTTATTGCGATTCAATTTGTAAAAAAAAAATTAAATATAGCATGTACATGTATGATGTAGCTGTATAGTGCGTTTGTTATATTGCCAAGTGTATCTACTATTTACTATAGAATGGAGAATGTGTATGATTTTCATCAATAACTTATTGTATTTTTCTTGCTTGAGCCTATTACTCTATTAACACAAGTACTCTTTTACAGTACTGTAATAATCATTTTATGCGAAGATGTACAGTGTTACGCCTGAAAGTACTCTAGATGCTTGACCTAGCTTTTGTAATATTTGAATGATGTAGAAAGGGTCTTTTGGGGACTTTTTCTTGTCCAAGTTGAAGTAAGGTCTTTACCGTTCTCAGTTCTCTTTCTTATGTCAAAGGACGAGCTGTTAATACCCAAAATATCTGACAATTTCAACTTTTGTTGACCATTTTGGATTTCGTTTCCTTTGTGAGTGCACAGTTTACAATTACATTGTATGTGCTATGTCATTCATCTGAGCATCTGAGTTGTGTGGCATTTTATACGACACTGTTGATTGGTCGATTAAATGACAGCCTATGAGTATGCAACCAATTCCCACTCTTGTTAGATTTTTGTGTTCCTGTTTTTCATTAGCGCCCATTTGTGACTAGCTTTGTGATTACCAAAGATTTTTTGATAAATATTTCTTTTAAGAATCGCCGGATTTTGATAAACAGTAATTAAAACTGTGATTTTTATACATGTACTGCAAGCCAGATTTTGTTGTGTGATGATAAAAAAAAAATACATTTTGGTGACTCTTTAGCATAAAATATTTATGTTGAAGGGTGTGAGGGGGAACTTGTAATTAATTTGGATGATACAAATTTATTTTGAAGCTGTCAGTGAATCTTGGCGTTAAAAATTAAAAACGGCTTGAACAGCCTAAGCTAAAAAGGCTTATGTTCATACATAAATAGTGGCTCATGTATCAGTGTCCAGTACAGACTAATAAATATGATAAATGATGTATACAATTCCTGCATTTCTACTCTTGTATGTTCATAAGACAAATTACAAAAAAAATTGTCTCATCGCATGTACATTGTTCTGTACTGCATGTATTAAAATGTCATGTTTCATTACTGATTAATAAATTAAGTGAAACCATTTTGGTGTCTAGCATGACTTATGTGACTCCATTTATTACATAAATCAATGCAGATATGTAAAGATTTTCGGGTTTTGTTTAAATTAAAACTTGAGGATAAGTTTGTATTAGGATTCAGAGACTCTTCGACCTAGACACAATACTTTAAATAGTCTTTTAATTGAAAGGTCTCGTGTATTGCAACTTTATTGTGAGATTGAAATTAATATGGATGTTGTTTACTCATTTCATACACTTAGGCCCTAATTGGAGTTCAATTAAAACAAAATGACCAAAATGTTTTTCTTAACCTACCTGCAAGTTTTCAGCTATTCAATATTGTTTTGATGGTTATTTGATTAAGTTTGCAGAGTATCTGATAGAGGGATTTGAAATGTTTAAAGAAAATTCATATCAGTTCTCTTCAAAACGGAAAAGTGTAGTTTAGGACACTTCTGTTTTTATAGAAGTTCTGTTCACAAATGACTTTTGCAGCGGCAGCCCCAAGCAGTGTTCTCGATTTACATTAGCTCTAGGTTTTTTATAATTTTAACCAGTACTTTGGACGAAAATGCGACTTTCTTACCGGTTTTAGCAGTTAGAGATGGGTGCGAGTGACAGCATAAGTCTTTTCATTATCTTATGCATTGGGAACGGGGTCCTAAAATACACCTTTACCATTCCATGCTACCTGTACGCTGTTGCAGAATTAAGGCCAAACCTGTTCTTGGACCAATCAGCACGCGGCTCTGTTACTTTGCCTTAAAACGTTTGACCGTCCAATCAGAATGCGCCAAACATAAGCTGATGCAAGGCTGTCAATCTCGTGTAAAAGCTGCAACGAAACTGTCAGTTGCCGCGAGATATTTCCAGAGTACGAAATGAAACTTAGACGATAGTTCGCATTCTTGGATCCCAACAATTGTCAGGAACTAGTCTTTCTGGTCATGACTTGAAGGCCAAAACCCATTTCACTGAATTCAACGTCAACTGCAGAAGCCGTGTGTTTTTCAGCGTGTCGGGTGGAGTCGAATCGTGCACGGACTATGAGACACACATAAAAAGTAAGTCGATTTCATTCACTCAACGTAGCACTGTCTTCTTATTCTTTATACATGTAGGCCTACATGTATTTCATTCACTGGAATTACATACCATGATACAAGCTACAAATTCAAACCTCGTTTAGAATGAGACCATTATCGTGTCGTCAGCTTTAATATCCTTACAAATAATTCGATAGTTGTGCATATTATTTCCCGCCTTTATGCATCGTTCTGATTTTCAAAACGTTTGCTTCCAAGTAATGTGGTTTTATAGATGCTGGTAACTGAGCTGTAGGCCTCTGGTACTATGGTGCATGTTAGCCTACAACCTGAACTTGACAGAGTTTGGTAGAAAAACCAATTGTACATTTTCAAAGTTTTGTTTATTACAATTCTGAAACTATGACAAGTTTGAATGAATCTAACTGATGTAAATACACTAATGTCGAAGTTACAATAAATAATATAAGGCGGAATATTGGCATTACATGGAGATTTGCTTTAGCAATTGACGCGCGCGCTATTAATGTTTGTGCAAAATGATAATAACGTCTTGCATTAGGCCTAGATACCATTATAATTATTTTTAAATAAAAAAAATAATGAACAAGACGGATGACTACTTCAAACACCATCCTTGCTTTGCATCCTCAGTCCGTCTCCGCCATCCATGACGTCATCCGTGACATCATCAGTGATGTCATCACCAACCATAACGTGCACGTTTGGTAAGGCATCGTGATAGGCTGCCTGGCACTGTTGGGGCGAGTCTATGTTTTGCGTGGACGTCTTGTCAGTCTTGTACTCTGACCTCGTGACAATAAAAGCAATGGAGCCACCAAAGAGCACCATTGACAGACCGTAGATGTTACCAATGTTTCCCGAGGCTACACCGCTTGAGTATTCAGCTCTGGAGAAAAAAGAGTTCAAACATTTAGGTGTTGTTTCAAAGTCATCAAGATGTTACCAATACCCCGATCCGTCAAGCCCCGCCCACCGAGCACGTGGGCAACAACACGGTGACTCTCGCTGCACGTGCACACTGCACGTTATAGCCACGCCAAACATGTGCACGTGCACGCATGTCGGATATTAATCACGGGTATGATTGGTCAAAATATCATGGGCGGGGCTCAATGGTATTAGCTGAGTTTAGCCGAAACAAAAGGTAATAGCGTACCTTTCACGTTTTCGATATAACAGCAAGCCTTTCGAGTTTCTGTAGTGTTTTACCCGACGTACAAGGATCAGCTTGAACAGCAGAACCTTACTCAAATGCCAGAACTTCATATTGGCCCGACAGGGATCGGCTTTACTTAAAATCAGGGCCGTTACGATTCAATGTTATTGTGAAGGGCTAGGCCTACATATTTATTTTGGGACATTTAAATTGGCACAACTCACATTTTATAAATGGAGAGCTCGTTCAACCCCGTTAGGCAAGACGCTAGGGAGAGCGAGAACATGAAAATCCCAAAGAAAACGTGGACTTGGGGATAGTGCGCCCTCAACGGATGATCCTGTCGTAGAAATCGCTCTGCGCCGTAATAAGCACCTCCTGCGACAAACTGGACAAAAATCTCGATTTAGAAAAGTTGTTGCTGTTGTTGTTGCTGTTGTTTGTAAAATCCAGACGCCATTCTAAAATTGTGTATACATTAGTTTAGCTCTGTAGGCCCAATCATAGCCGTAGGCCTACAGTTCCGAAACTAAGGTGTAAAGTATACCACTACATGTAGGCCTACTTGTACAATACATGTACATGTATATTTTTTTCGATAGTTGACAGATGTTTCAATATAGCAATCGTATGGTATTATTTTCACACATCATTGTTGTAACTGTAAAGATACTATGCCTTTGTTTATCCTCACCTGTAGACAAAACAAAATAACGGTGAAATACCCCAGCCAGCTGTGCAAGGAATAATTATGAACAACACCGTGAATTTCCTGGGCATCTTTGGCGAGGGCTGCGGCGCGGAGGCCGGCGATGAGAAGGATGATAATCACGGTGTGGACGGACGCGTGTATGGCCTTTTGGGCAAGGTATGGGAGGCGACAGCGGCTTAAAACACGGAAGGATATGAGGGCTGGAAGTTAAAGAGACAAAGGGTTATCGTTTATAGGTAAGTAGCATCTTTTTATTTGGTTAAATTCGGTTCGGTATAATGGTTTGTTATATTTGGACTCATAGGTATACATACGATTGGAAAGATGGTAAATTTTAAACAGATGCTCAATGAAGGTGTTTCATTTGTTTTTAATAATAATATACGATAATCCAGTTTATCAGATAATCCAGATAATCACATTATTCATATATTTCGGGGGTTTTGAAAAATATTTAGCTGCAGGGCGAAAAAGTGATTAATTGACAAAAGGACAAATAAACATCAACAATTCAATCAGTTAAATCAATCAACCAAGCAAGCAAAACGTGAAAGACAGCTCGATCACAGACCTTGCCCAAAAATCACTAAAGTGTGAAGATTGATGGGCAGATTTTGAAAATGAACAAACAAACAAACGATATTATTCTTAAAAATCGACAGAATTAATGTAAAAACAAATAAAAACGCAAGCGATTATTTGGGGGGGGGGGGGCGCCGTCAATCTCTAAAAAATTAGGACGACAGTTAAATTGACAAAGTACCTTACCTTCGCCGAAGAGGAATACCAATGATAACGTCAGCAACAATGGGTGGTATCCCCCAGGTGCACCCCAGACGAACCCACCAACGTGGTGCTGTAACCATATCACCATGGTAACCAACATGGCGCCTGCAAAGAGCTGAGAGAGGACCACAAGGGGCCAGAAGAGGGAAGGCATCGTGGTTGCTCCGGAAAAAAAGTCGGGGAATGGAACTTCCTAATTCGCTTTTTAAAATCCGGATTGCTGAATGCAGCTTCTATCCAAAACAAGGAAACAAAACAGGTTTCTCAGATTTATAAACTAAACCATCAGTTTGGCTGTTCTGCATTATCAATAGACTGTTTGCACTGCGCCATCTTTGAGGTGTGGTTTTGTTCAACAGGAAACACATAATACATTGTAGACATCAAGTGCATTAATTCGTTAATGGATTTACATAACAAACTATAACCTCAAAGCAATTGCTGAATGCAATCGACCTGTACCGATAAAGATTGGCTGAGCCATATAGAAAGTAAAAGGCATATGCCTACATAGGACCTCGACAAAGGTCCTACAAATTAATACCAGGTCGTGTCACGTCGTGATAAACTATGGCGGAGTGATGTTCTTTAGAGGCTTCAAACTCGTTCACCAATGAATGAGGAATTTCACTCTCCATTGACAAATTAAGTGACAAAATGGTGGTTGTCTCGTTTACATTGGTTCCAATATTTATTATTCTCCAAAGATGTAAACTTACTTACAAGTTACAAGGAATTCTTCACATCAGGTATTCATTGAGCTCGGTTCCTTGCTCTGTGGTTCAAGGTTTATCTCTGTTGTGATTGTCGGGTCCACCATCTGTTGATGAGTGCTTGAAATGTTGGCGGAATTCAGTAAATTGTAAGAACGACTTCGGACTACCACACTGCGACTTCCTCTACTCGCTGCCTGACACAGGTAGAACTCTTGCTAGTCCTGGCACTGCAGAAAATCCAAGTGAGGAAAAGCGTGGGAAAAGTTACCTTCTTGTGGAAACTTGAATGGCTAGCCGTCTTGACGCAGCCCGACTGTTAGTGTAAGATGGTTGAAATCTTGAGGGCACCACGCAGCGTACACAGCCTTTGTTGAATTTCTTTGTTATGACTCATAAGACTTCCTGTGGTCTTTTAATCCTTCTTAATCCCAATGTAATCCAACAGGAGTTGGTATTAGAATCAAAAGACACCGACTACAGAGAGCAAAAAATCTCTAGATTATGTTTAAGACGGTTCGTAATCCTTCCCTTGTACCAAGATTCCTCCATGCTTGTACAATACTACCGTAAATCCAGATTATAAGGCTAGATGATTTATACATGTACATGTACATGTGTACATGTACATGTACATTTTTGTACTACTACCAAAACTATATGGATTTACACACAGCTGTGATGAATGAGCCACTGCAGAAACCATAACCTACCTTGTACGAATACGAAACACCGACAGAAAGGTCCACAATTTCACAAATCACGATTTCAGAAGTCATAAAGTTTAAACACTTCGCTAACAACAGTAAACTTGTTGTCCAATGTCCTGTGGTGTGCTTTTCGCACGATGGTTTCTCCTGGTTCCAACACTTGTTCTGTTCATGTGTCTTGAGGCTACCACACAACGGTCTTGCTTACTTAAAGTGTCGTATATCCAAGGAGCCGCTTGAGACCGGACCTCTAGGGCCATACAAGGTCATAATGGTGCCGTGTGGCACGCGGTGTACGTGCCATCAACAAGTGGGAGGAAATTATAAACACGTGTTTCTTGTAATGTCTACATTTTAAACTATACCAACACACAATGAATATTTTGTCCCCAGACAACCTCCATTTACAGAGCGATTCTGGATTTAAATTATCGCACCTTTTAAAGCAGTTTCAGGCAAATCCATTTGACTGATTTCAACCAGTACTTTTTTCACATGAACGTTTTGTTCCTCGCAAAAACTATTAGTGTGGTTTCCTTTTCTCGCCTCTTGTAGCCTTTTATTTCAGATTAGCAGGTAATTTCACCTTTGATTAATAAAGTTTGCATATGAACAAATCCCCTTTAGTCTTTCTTGTTTCGCCCAAAATATTTGTTTTCAAATAAAATTGAAACGAGAACTCTGCAAAGATGATATAAAATACAAAACATACAAAGCAACTATGAATTGATGACTTCATTATTTTTCCTTTGTAAGATTTATTCAAGAACATTTGCTTATTACATTACAAGCCAATGCTTACAAAACAAATGCTATAAAGAATACTACATGTATACTACATTTTCAACTTACAATTTACCATTTGTCAGAAGAAACAAATGCAATGTAATAACTTAACGAAACTTGTCTTAGAATTTGTAAAATACGCAATATCCCAAGACACATACAATGTATAATGTATTAACTCCGGTCTTATAGACATGTTTAAATAGCTAGGAGCAATGTGATCAATGGTGCGATAATTAGACGACACCCAGTCTGGTTCCCTGGCATTAAAATGACACATTCAAGCATTGAGAAGACCGGGCATAGTTCAAATTCTCATTTTGAATTTCCAATAAGACACAAAGTTTTGACCAAAATGATTCTCAAATGAACCATGTAGACACAGTTTTTAATTCGTAAAGCATTTTGGAAAAAGGGAATGACATTTCCGGGGTAAGGACCGAGGATGAGCAGCTAATGCATCTTCCTCACTACCAATTGTAGGAGTTTGCAAAGTAAAATTGTACGCCTGGATAACCAAAAAGGCCTTTACAAAGATTAGAAAAAGCTTAGAGCACGTCTGTAGGGTATTTTTCCATCTTATTTTGTTGGGCCCGAGTCCTCAACTTGTGCATTTCCCAGAGTTTTCTCAATCTGTTTCCGCTGAAGTACCCCCGGTTTAAGCCCAACATATTTTATCATTTGTTTTTCAAAATATAGAACTGCCGGCCTCTACTTCCAGAACTTCTTGATGGACATGTTCTTCTCCGAGTCTTTTTGCATCACCTGAGCAGAGAAAAACAGCAAAAAGAACGTTCGTTATTCCTGTCAAACGTCATACAAAAACGTCATAGATGGCAGCATAGCCCAACTGCCCCAATGGGATTTCATACACAAACTGAATTCACAAAATTCTTCCAAGAATTTGCAACAATATATGGTGAAACCTGTTTTTATCATTTCATCAAAGTTTCTAATCCAGGTTGTCTGTGAGGTTTTCAATGAATTCTTCCAAATTTGCGAAGCCCTCTCAAGAAATTACCCCGGAACCGTCCTTCCCCCAATAAATGATAAAAACAACATGCCCCGAAGAAAAAAAAAAAGACAAAAATGATCTTCAGAACTGAAGATGTTACCTTTGCCACCGCCATTTCAAAGTCTTCTTGTGTTACGTGTACTCTTCTCTCCCTCAATGCATACATGCCAGCTTCCGTGCACACTCCCTAGTTCAAAAAGCAAACAGGTATATTAAAACTTTTGGAAAACTATAATGGAACATTTCAGAAGGAAAGAATTTGAAACCAATTTAGAACCATCGATATCAATCACAAATCTGGTCACAAGTTAGTCAAATCAAATCGCAAGTCAAGTCCAAAACAATGGGTGATGACAATCAAAGCATAGGAATGACTTTGTCACAATTCATTTGAAAATCTTGTGACTGGACTTACGACTGGAGGACTTGTGATGGACTTGATTTGTGAGAACGTGACTACATCTCTGCCAGAAATGTAATATTCTTGCATAATCTCACTGCATCTTCTACTCTTATATTCTACGCGAGAATATTCTAAGTGAGTGAGAGAGGGTGGGGAACTTTCTTTATCTCCCATTGGGCCGACCACACATCACACAATACACATCACCCACCTTGACTTCAGCCCCCGAGGCTCCCGGCATGAGCTCGGCAATCTTCCTCAGGTTGATGCCTCTTGTCAGGTTCATCTTTCTGGAGTGGATCTTGAGAATGTCCAGTCGGGCTTCCTCGTTGGGCGGCGGGAACTCGATCTTGCGGTCGATGCGGCCGGGGCGGAGCAGGGCAGAGTCCAGGATGTCAATGCGATTTGTCGCCATGATCACCTAATGAGGTCGTATAAATCAAAGTTATTATCAAGCCAATCACTATACAATCTCAAGTCAAGTCACAAGCTATTCTGAAGTCCAGCATTGTAGGGCACTGTGGACACCTACTACCCCCTGCTAGGTACCCACTTTCAAGGCGCAAGTACCCAGTGCCTTTCACAGTAAACAAGTACAAGGCACCCAGTACCCATTAGTAGGCACCCATATAGAAAAAGTCTGACACCCAACCCCTATAAATCTTCTCACCTTGATATTCTTGGTGGCTTCAAACCCGTCTAGTTGGTTGAGTAGTTCCAGCATGGTGCGCTGGACCTCGCTGTCTCCACCAGAGCTTCCCTCGATACGGGTCGACCCGATGGAGTCAATCTCGTCCATGAATATGATGGACGGTGCGTGCTCTCTGTCAAATCATATAAATTATCGTGTTAAGTTTGACACTCTGACTTCATTCCAACTCAAAACAGCAAAAATTGCGAAAAGAGTGGTGTCAACAATAGTGCTGCCTCTAATTCTCCATGATCATTAAAAAGGAAAAGAAAGCATTTTGAAGGATTCTTAAAGGCTCGTGCAAGTATGTTTCTGGAATTAGGGTCAATACATACATAAGTATCCGGTATCAATATACAGTATTGGAGAAATGTGCACCATGGTACACTTAAGCAATTTAGCTTTGCAGATTTGATTGGTCAGTTTGAATTAAGAAAGTCCCAAACGGTGTACAACAAACATCTTAACAAATTAACAGAATTCACCTGCCACTAAAAATATGAACTGAATTTGATTGTATTGGGAGATATACCTTGCCATGACGAAGAGTTCTCTAACCATTCTGGATCCTTCACCGATGAATTTCTGGACCAGCTCAGAGCCCGATACTCGAATGAACGTACACTCTGTGTGGTGAGCTACCGCTCTGGCTAGTAAGGTCTTGCCTGTACCTGGGGGACCGTAGAGTAACACTCCCTGTGGAGAGAAGGAGGATTGATATAAGGGTGAATAAAGAAATTGAGTGTCAAAAGATTGTTGACATCTAGAACACCATACAGAAACCAACTGAGCTATCCAGAGCTATATTGAAGTGTGTTCGCTGAAAACTGATGTACAAGATATTCGTGACAATTGGCAACAAGACACTACACAGCCCTCAAATTTTTCCCGTTTTTTTAAATAAAAAAAATAAAATAGATAATTCACTTTATATCATTTTGTTGCATAATTTTAGCCATATTTTAGCCAAAGAGTGCTTCGTCTGTGTATTGTGTATGTATTGATGCAGAGGAAAAGTAAAAAAATCTTTAGACTTTACGGTGAATTTTATAATAAAAGACTCAGGCAGACGACAAACTTACCTTTGGTTGCGCGATACCAAGCGCATCAAACAGCTCAGGGTGCTTGACCGGGAGTTCAATGACCTCTTTAATCTCCTTGATCTGTTTGTCCAGACCTCCGACCATCTCATAGGTAGAGTCTGGTACCTTCTCCACCATCATCAGACTGACTAAGGGATCCACCTATAGGGTCAGGGAACCAAACAAAAAATTTGTACATTTTAAAATATTAGTCTGGCACTCAGGTAACTGTTGTCAGACTGAATGGGTTATTCCTCCCGGTGACTAAGGTACCAAACAAGGTCGTTACCATTAGAGTCTGGTACCCTTTAGCCATAGACTTTCTAGAGTATCTGTGAGTGGAGTCAGAGTACCAAACAAAAGAGCAAATTCAAGAATACTTTTAAATGTGTGGGAAGTTGTATGTTAGTCTCTGGGAATATTCGGTGAATTTCAAACCTTGTTTGGCAGGATTTTGTGGAGAGTGTGGCTATCGTTGCGCAGTGCTACCCTGCAGTTTGGCTGTACATCGTTGATGTCGATGGCTTTGTCGATGTCCACAACAAATTTACCTTCTGGGTGTACCTGGTGAAAATTAGAGTCCAACATGCATTAAATATTGCAATTCTTTTTGCACAACTTTACACACACAAAAATTGAATCAAGAGGTCTCTTCAGATCAAGAAACAGTTGGGTTGCAACACAATTAGTATTAATCAAATTTAAATATTTGGTCTATACAAATTTTGAATAGGGAAACTGCACACAATTGTAGTTTACTTTTGTGTACAAAAAAATTCCGAAATACTTATTTATTGATAATATTTGAGATTCGAAGGCTAACCTTGACAAGGACTTTCTTCTTGTCCATGGCTTTGACAACTTCTCCCACATGTGAACCTTGTTCTTGAAGGAGCTGTAGTTCCTCACGCAACATCCGCACTGTGAAAACAATGATGAAAAATATAAGACATCCTCAAGGCATCCACATGAATCTAACGTCAAACCAGTCTCCCTTAACACTAAAACTCCCCGGGCATTTCTGCCATGAACCTAACTGTACTTAGGATAGTCCCAATTATAGCTGGGACAATGCCAGAGTTGGGGTATAATGTTTCCCAGACTTCCACAGTGTGATTACCTTTGGCATTGAGCTCATTACGCTGTGCCTCTAATCTTCTTAAGTTCTGGCTCTTCTCTGTCACCACCATCTGAAGCTCGTCAATCTTTGTCATGTAGTACTTGCGGATCCCTTCTCCCTTGGGTCCATCCCCTTTAGCACCACTGTCCACCTCCATCTGCAATTCAAACCCATTCAATGTAAGGTCACTTTGCTCTAGAATGCATACGCCAGCAGAAGGCCTAAGATCTACGGGAAGAAAGATTTGCCTTTACACGGGCATGCAACTGGGAATTTAGGAAAAAACGAGGTATTTCTAAACCACACAAGACTTTGTCAGTGTTTTTCAATTGCAATGGCATTCATGAGAAGTAAAAAAAACGAGGAAATCAGCGGATCCGAGGAAAAGTTGCATGCCTGTTTGCATTTGAAAGGCATATGGAATTTATGTATGAATAAATTTATATTAAAATCTAATTTATTAGCAATAGCACATACCACAGTGCACAAAATAAAAACAAAAGGGAAAGCATGCAGTATCCAGATGCCACTCCTTTGGTTGGGTACAAAGTCTATGGAGAGTCAAGGACATTTCAAAGTATGTCTTAACAAAATTGGAAATGTTTCTCAGTCCGAGATTCATGTCGTTTCAACATTTTTGCAACAACTGACCTTCATTGAGATGATATGTGATGAAAAAAAAATTGGTGTCAGGATTCAACATTCTCTCCGAACAAAAAGTCAATTGTCAAACTCATTTAACTTGTTACGTTAGCATGTTTTTGTTTAGGCCTAACATTTTGATTCACTTTTTTCACAAAACAAATACAAAACATTGAAACTGAAAGTGTACTTAGTTAAATAAATAAATAAAATTTACTATAATTATACTTCAGTTAAGAAAGTTATGGTGACTTGCAAGTAATTTTAAGGCAACCCCTCCCCCCCCCCTGAAAAAAAATCCAAAACGACCTCATCTTTTCTTGCTAGTGCAGGTCCGCCATTAATTTCATGCCATTATCTGATTATGACGAAGCAAAAACAAGTGTGCGTAAAGCAATGGGCAAATTGACAAAGAAATTTACGGAGTGAATACATATTTTCCAATACAATTCTACGAATGGTAAACTTCACGGATATGCGAATAAGGGTTTGATACTTCTTATTTTGGTTGTTTTAAATTTACTATACAAAAGAATACAAAGTTATTCCGAAAATTGAATTAGAACTGCGAATCATTTTCTCACCTCTGTGGTCGCCATGTTATTTTTTGGTACGAGTTGCATTCTGGGAACTTCTGCCGTAAAAATTAAAAAAACCGGGGTCTACACGCAGTAAAACATGTGTGACAAACTACCCCTTTTTTAAAAGTTTACAGGGAATAAGTGTTTAAAAACAAATGTAAAAAACCCCAGCAATTTTCATTTTTGTTACCTTGTGACCCATAAATTTAGCATTTATGCCTTTAAACAATAGTTTAGTTTTGCAAACCCCATTATCATGCGATTTTTTATTACAAAGCTAGGGGGTATTTCCGTCCAGACAGTGCCACGAAAGTTCAATCAACGTGCATCACAACCACGTTCTCATACGAAGCGATCTGAACATAATGTTTGTATGTGCAGACTTTAAGATCTGGGAATAAGGTTACCGGCAGATAAATCACAATTTCCTATTCATTTTGTGCACTCATGCACTAGCACAGGTGCACAACAAATGTTGTTTATTGATCGTGTATTCACAGTGATTTAATGAGAGAAATCAAAATGACTTTCTTCATATTTGTATCCAAATGGAAACACAAATTATGACAGCCATGAAATACTGAAAAACAGAAAAAAATGGTGCTCCAAGTGGAATTTTTTGGCTCATTCAATTGGCGCATTTTCCGGATAGCTGAAGTGAAAACATAAATTCTCCAAAAACTTAATAGTGAATCAACAACAATGGCAGTAATGAGCCGGTCACGCACTGTAATCTATATAGCCCTCGGAATATGTGCTGGGGCCTTGCTCAGCATGCTCTGCGTACCGCTAGAAACTGGCTGTGGCGTTGACAGCTACGTCCACGTCGGAACGAAGAGAAAAACAAGCGCTGTCGACATGATCGATTATGGAACCGATGAAAATGGCAACCAGCTAAATGACGAGGATTTCGAACCAGTGCTGATGACTGTAAACAGGCCAGTCGTTAAGAAGGATATCGATCGACAGCGATTGATTCGGATGCGGTACATCTCGTCGGAGCTTTCAATCAAGGAGAAGTTGTTTGTAGGTGTGATGGTCTCACGAGAGGAAATTGATCTGGAGTCCACGACGGTCGGCATCAATAAGACACTCAGTCATTACGTCAGTAAGCTGGTGTTTTTCACCAAGACTAATTCAGAGCAGTCGCTGAGCGGCATGACGATCATCGCGTTTCCAGGGGAACAGGTCAACGTGAGAATGTTCCAAATTTGGAAGTACATCTACGAGCATCACGGCAGCGACTACGATTGGTTCCTGGTCATTCAGGATGACACGTACATCTACGGGGACGTCTTTATGGAATTCCTGGGCCACATGAGTGTCGGGAGGGACCTGTATATGGGAATTCCGATTCACGAAGCCGAGATGGATGTCACGTTTTGTAGCAGGGATGCAGGTCCGTCAACAGGAAACTTGACATCACTTACAAACACGGGAGGGGTGTGGCTTGATTGCTCTTAGTATAAGCGGGAGGGTTGGCAGGGTTCGAAATTAGCAGTAGCCCGCTAGCCAAATGCTAGTCAAAACAGCGGCGGGCTAGTCAAACTATTCCTTTAGTAGCCCGGCTGGCGAGTCAAAAAATTATTGGGATACGGCAAAGATGGAAGGATAGGAAGAAAAAAAAAAACATGTGGCAAATGAAAATGCCCGCGGGCTAGTTAACAGTCTGTTTCAGTAGCCCGGCTGGCTAGTGAACAAAAAAGTTAAGGTCGAACCCTGGGTTGGGCAAAGTCTTCAAAGGTGGAGTTGCTGCTAAGTGGGTGACAGGGGAGATTTTTTAGAAGAGAAATAGAGTTTTGAAAGTGGCAGGATCATGTATTTATCTCACCCTTTCAGGATTCTACAGAATTCACCAGACCAATTTTTGTGTGTGACCGTTTTGGAGGATTGAGGTACAGCCTTGCCACATTTTCTTTAATGTGGGGTTTTATGTTTTACGTTACATATTTAGGATTCAGGACGGTTCTTAACCCCCCCCCCCCCCAAAAAAGAATTTCCAATTTGGCTTTTCGTTCACTTTTTCAGAATGGAAAGAAATGATTGTGGTAAAGTATCTTGCTATAGGACACAAGCTCTGTGATCTCTTGGCTACTTGACCATGATGGCAAAAGAAGAGTCGGCAATAGAATTGAATACTTGAAGGGTCCATGAGATGAATATTCTTAGGGACAGATTTTTTTTCAACTTTTTACTCTTATATGTATGAAAAGTATTTGATATCCCTTTTTGGTAAACTTTATTGAAAAGTGCACTTCAAACATTTAAAATTGTTAATGCTTTTCTGGACAAATGAGGGCGCTAGTGATGTGATGTCATTTCAGGAACACTTCAGTTTAGGGATTTTGTGTTCAAATTGTGCACCTTAAAAATTTGTTCATTGAAAACATTTGTGAGAAAAGTTTGCTCATTGGCTTACTGCCATGTACTGACACAAATCAAAGAAAAGAACATTTATAGCAGCAAAATCTCCCAAATTCTGGCAACTTTTGGTGCTGAAATAACTGTAACATTGAGGTTTCTGCCTGAAATGACATCACACTTTTGCTCATGAATATGGAAAATGGCATTAGCATAAAAACCAAAATCGCACCCAAGTACCCTTGAAAATGGCAAAACGAAAAATGAAAATAAGGTTAAATGGCACATAAAGGTGCATTTTTCAAGGATTGCCTTACAAAATTACATTGCATGGGCCCTTTAGATCTAGTGAGGACTATTTGTTGCAATGGACTCTCCAAAAATCACTTGATGCCTGCATCACAAATGACCTTGTGTCCTATAGCAAGCCACTTTATCAACATAAACTGTTGTGTCTGTTGTATATTTCAGGTTACATGCTCTCCAGGAACCTTCTGGCCAAGGTGGGGCCGTACTGGGAGGACTGCATGCGTAAATCTTGGAACAATGTCCCGGACCTAGAGTTTGGACGGTGCATACAAGACCACTCCAATTCACACTGCTCCACCAATTATGAGGTGATTAACCCTAACCTTCCCCAAATCCTCCAAAATCCTCTTTGCAAAGTAAAGGATTTGAGGCTATATGGCAAACAATGTGTGGCTGATTTTGGAGGATGCACTGTGTCAAGGTCTTAGCCTTTAGGCCGGACCTTGTGTTGTGTATGCTCAGCCGTGCATAAATTTAGGCGTAGATTATACTTGAAATCCTCCGCACTGCTCCAGTGACAGTGATTGCTGGAGGATTTTGCAGGATTGAGGCAGTGGTCACCCCTCCAAGGACCACATTCAAGAAATAACAGATGATATTGGAGGAGTGAGATTGTATGCAATTTTTACATGGAGGCAATTAGAGGATTTTGCAGGATTGAGGTTGCATCCCAGCAAAAATACCTGGGAAATTAGGGTTAAAATTAATTAAAAAGTCCACTTCATTACTTGAATTCCAATTAATTCAAAGATTAATTCAAGGCTTCACATTCAGTGTCACATGCATATATCCCACAATCTGAAACAGACCCATGCCTTTCTCCCCTTAGTCTAATTCTGACCTTTCTTCTATCATATTCCAGGGTTCAACATTTTACGCCTACGATTTTGAAGACAAGGTTCTGACTGACAAGGAAAAGAACGATGCTGATTTCCAGCAAGCCTTGGCGATACATCACGTGATGGACACGCGCACCATGTACAAGCTCCACAAGTATTTCTCCGAGCGATCTCTGAGTCAGACTCTTAAACAGATTGCTGAGCTCCAGCAAAACATCGAAGAAATCAGCGCGTACGCACCGGGCGGTAAATCCAAACTAACATGGCCAGTGGGAGTGCAGGGCCCCTTTAAAACAACGTCGCGATTCGACGTGATGGGTTGGGAATACTTCTCTATGACACACTTGTACGGCTTGGACGATTACGAACCCAAGTCCCCTCTGATTGGTGCAAACAAGCAGGACATTGACGAGATACTCACCACGACAATGGCGCGCTTGAACGAGCTCCATGGGAACATCTACATGCTCGGCCGACTCGTGAATGGGTACCGGCGATTCGACCCCAACCGTGGGATGGAGTACACCCTGGATATGGAGCTCAAGCTTCACGGCGACAAGCGGGAAATCCTCAAGCGAGTCCACTTACTCAGACCCCTCAACAAGGTTGAGATTGTCTTCATGCCTTACGTCACCGAGTACACTCAAGTCACAATCATCGTTCCCGTGGTATCTGGTAGCCAAGAGCAGGTCCGAGTCTTCCTTGACAACTACGCCAGAATCTGTCTGGAGACTCGCGACAAATCGGCCGTGATGCTGATCTTCGTTTACACGCCGACTGAGGCGATGACGATGGCTACCGAAGATATCTACAGCGCGAATAAAGGCTACGTCTCCTACCTGGAGCGTAAGTACCCCGGCTCCCATCTGTCCTGGATAAGTGTCAAGACAAGCCTTCCCTCACCCATCGCCATCATGGACGTCGTCTCCAAGAAGTTTGCTTCGGACACCCTCTTCCTCTTCACCAACGCCAACATGGAGATAGCTGCGGAGTTCCTGAACCGTGTCCGCATGAACACCATCGCGGGATGGCAGGTCTTTTTCCCAATTCCCTTCTCCCAGTACGACCCTAAAATCATCTACGCTGATTTGCCCAACCCCAACCGCATAGACATTTCCAAAACCGCTGGTCACTTTGACACCTACCTTTTCGAGCACGCCAGCTTCTACAATTCGGACTACATGAACGCCAGGAAACTCTGGGACGAGAAGCACCCGGGAAGCGAAACGGACCACATCCAGTCAGATCTGGACCTCTTTGAGATGTTTCTGAGTACCAAACTGCACACCTTCCGAGCCGTGGACCCCGCCCTGAAGCTGCACTACCACCAACGGATTTGCCAACCCTCTCTCAAGGAGGAGCAGTACCAGAGATGCTTGGAAGGCCGGGCGGTGGGCCTTGCCTCTAAAGCCCAGCTCGCAATGCTGGTCCTAGAACAACAGCAAAAACTAGCTGCTGAGAAAGGAAATATCTGAAGCAAACGCAGCTCGATATTCCTTTAACTGGTTGTTAAATTTCACATGCATCATTTGAAGCTTTTCTTTGGTATTGCCAATGTATGGTGCTGGCCAGGGTCCATCTTCATAGAAAACAATAATGCAAACGTGAGCAGAAAGTTATAATATAGGCCTATGCTAGTGCGAGTACCACTTTCTGCAAGCACAGATTCTTTTGCTAAAAAAGTTGTGTACGTACAAGTGCCTCATTTCACCAAGGCCCTAGACAGTGACGTAGCAAGGTCATTTTGATTGAGGGGGGGGGGGGAATTATCTCCATATGGGGTTTCTTTTGAAAGCGGACGATCATGGGCACTATTGGACAAATGTGGCGCTATTCAGAGCACGCGTAAAAAAAAAGGGCATTTGTGGAAAATAAAGCACTTGTGAAAACAATATTGTGGGGGGGAGGGGGAAATACCCCTTATCCCTACGGTGGCTACACCACTGCTACAATGTTTTTCATTTACATTGACTGACATGTCAAAACCTAAAGTCAGACTTGCAATCTGGGATTTCTTAGACAATTTACAGAGGTTGTCTAATGTTGCCACGTTTTTGAACTTTTTTGGGTAGTCTTGGGAACTACAGGGTTACAATTGTGCAGCTGCCAATATTTTGGCCTGAATACATTGCTGAGGCTGGACCAAAAGAGGCTTGCAAACAAATAAGTCTGGTGCTTTTAAGGTGGCGATCCACATGATGTTAATAGCTAGTATGTCCTTAGGGAACGGGACAAGAAGTAAGTTTTGAAATATTCTGCTGCAGGTAGTGTATGTGTTTTTGTTTTGTTTACATATTGTATATTATATGTAAGATCATTTTGAAGGAAGTTATTGCAATAAATACAACATCACTCGTCAGTAATCAAAATTTCTTGAAAACACGAATTCTTCAGAACCAGCCAGAACAGTTGTAAAGTTGAACTATGCCCAGAAGTAAACATTCCTTTTGGGGAATTGTATTAATTCACACAATGTACAAATTAACTTACATTTTTGATATTTCAAATATTATTTGCATTGAAGTACATGTAGTACATTTTTCATTGAGCATTTTAAATTATGACAATATTAAAATGTGATTTTTTTTGGACAAAAATATAATGATTGTTAAAATGAAAACTAGATATGGAAAAATCATGAATTATAATTGAAATTTTTCAATTTTTTGCCATACTTGTGCCAACGACTAAAATCAAGTTGTCTCCCACGAGATCAAGATTTTAAGTAATTAAATCAAGATATTCAAATTAATTAAATCAATTATATCAATTAATTATTCTCAGAAGATAGAGTACTTCAAACATGTCAAATATCATGTGAAAATAATGATTGTTAAATAATGATACCTTTGTGTACAATAACGCATGTAAAAGATGGCTTACAATTTTCATATAAGAGCAGGGTTTTTATTCTTTCATTGAAGGAATTTTTGGCTACCTTATGCAAATTAACATTTAATTTTTTGTTTTAAGTATTACTGCCGTACACGGTACAGTGGTACACATGTAGCAATATTTTCATGTATTTAAACTAAACAAAAATACAAATACATGTATCTTTGTTTTGGCGCATTTTTTTAATGTTTCGATTTGAGGAGGAAAAAGGAATAAATAACTTATTCGCTTCCAAGTGTGTGTATGTCTCTAGCTTTCTTTAGTAAGTTTTTAGATTTGTGTGTGCCACGTTGAGGGCAAAACGTTGTTGAGAAATTTAAAAAGTCACTTGAATGCTGTACAAACGGTAGATATTAAGAAAGTGGGGAAAACACTTCTCCAAAAAAATGGCATGGTGTGTCATCCAGGAAATTGGCCTAAGATTTTTCTGATCTGTGGTGATTGGTTGATTCGAAATGAGGTACCTGTTGCGACTGTTGGTTGCACCCAAGTAAATAGGCCAAAAATCCGTGCGCCGAGCTCATGAATAAAAGTTACCCACTCAAATCCTTCTATGTTAGAGAGTTCTGAGAGCAATGAAATTGGGAAATTGAAGAGATATGGCAATACACCCCTGGCCCGGACTTTGGGCTCCAACTCGTTTAAGGGGTCGTCTTCTTTGGGTGAGAATTTCTCGAAAAGTCATCGGTCAACCAACTAAAAATTGAATGTTGATAATCATTTTTCTGTGCCGCCTGAAGACCTGTGAGAGTCTTGAGTATTTTAAAAAGAATGTTGAAGTATGGGTATTTATCACTGTTGTCTATGGGAGTTTATTTGATTGGGTGCATATATTGATCCTAAAGTAGCCCTTTCACAGTTGGGCAATAAATAACCACAAGAGGGCGCTAACCAAAGGTAACAGTCCACTGGTAATCGGCGGTTTTCAAATGCAATAACACGGTATTGTACTGCCTGGCGCGGTCACAGTACCAGCGCAGCCAAAATATAATTATCAGCGGGCATTTCAAAGGACTGAAGGAAGGGCGAAGCAAGTTGTCAAAAATGGATCAAAATAACGAGATGGAGGAGAATTCAGCCAAAAGTGACGGTGCTTTCTCTGTCTGTGCTTGTTCGAGTATGTTGGAGAAGCAGAAAAGGTAGGGGACATGATTAACAAAATACGCCTCCGTAAATGAGTATGAAAGTTGCCGTCAGGATTGAAAAATATGCATGCCTTTTTTAAGCTTTCAATTTAAGCTCACTGAGTTTGTGCCTACTTTTTGTGTCCTTTTTATTCGTCATGTTCGTGTCACTGTCAGGGTTTTGTGTGATCTGAAAGACCAGGCTAACATTCTGCCTAAGAAAGTCAAGACAGAAGATGCCTCACAGGATACTGAACACCTGCATGATTTCAAGGTTGAGTGCCAGCAAGTTGTGGTAAGAAATACAAGCAATTAATTTAATTTTAAGGACTTGTTTTTTTCCCTTTATTTTAAAGTTTTACATTGCTATTAGTTTAACATTGTTTTTAGTGTGTCCTATTTAATCAGTTGGAGAGCCCCTCAACAGAAACCATGTTTCTTTTGAGTAATCCAGCAGGAGCTGGTTAAATAATGTGTTGTGTATGTTTTGTCAATTTTGTGTATTTTAATGTCATTGTTTGCTGTATAAACAAATGTAGGCCTATCCCGAAAAATGAAATAAATGAAATGAAATGAAACTGAGCTGCACAATCAGATACAAAAATGACAAAATGTCTAGGCCTGTTTGGTACAAATTAAAATGCTACTTTCTAGAGTAAGACAATGCTAGGGGGCCTAGGCCTACTTTTTGCATCTTTTATTTTTTTTGGGGGGGGGGGGCTAAAATACACTTTTGAATGTAATCAAGATAAAACTTGAAAGGACTTGACTTTTTGTACCTTTCATCTGGGAGTTCAGTTTCTTCTAGAAAATTCAAAATGCAATTTCTTGCGAATTTTGTTGATTCCAATTTTGTTTTGCCCCCTGGATTTTTGTGTGTGCTAGCATCTCCACAATATTGGCTCCTTTCTGAGCTAATAATGTTATAAATATAAACAGCTGTGAAATCTGATGCTCATGATTTACACTTTTTAGTTTATTTTTCCCTTGTGCAGGATGAATTCAAGAAGCTGAAGTTTGCCTTTGTCCATCTTCAGGGGCACATCAAGCTGCTGGACTACTTGGCGAATGTCCCCAAGGACCAGTGGCCCTCAGTAGCATCTTGTGGTGAGACAGAAAAAAAATGGAAACTTAAGGGTCACTCAAGATAACAATAACCCTTCCAGCTTCCATGCCCCTTCAAGATTGTTAACCCCCACCTTCCTAAGTCCTTCAAAATCATCCAGGCAGTTTCGGAGGATTTTGGAGGATAACCCACCTCACTCCTCCAAAATCATCCTGGCGGTTTTGGAGGATTCTAGAGGATTGAGGATGAATGGTGATTGAATCAAATGAGGATTTTGGAGGATTGAGGATGAATGGTGATTGAAGCACAAGAGGATTTTGGAGGATTGAGGATGAATGCATTTTGAGGCAGGACTGTCTGATAATTTTGAAGGATTTGGCGTTGGTTATCCTTCATTTAAACACGAGTGCAAAATTTTGGGATGAGGAGGATTTTGGAGGATTGACGATGAATGCATTTTGAGGCAGGACTGTCTGACAATTTTGAAAAATTTGGGCGGAGTTGCAAAATTTTAGAGGATTGAGGATGGTTCTTAGCAAAAAGGGCCTAGGAGGTTAGGGTTCAGGTAGCATGAATGGCAAAAATAGTCGGTTGATTTTGGAGTTGAATTGGGTTTGAGCCCCGCCTGCATTATGCCCGATACCATCCGCACTGCTTCTGAATGTCATAGACACTGCCTCAACCCATTAACAGTGATTGTTGGAGGATTTTAAAGGATTGAGGCAGTGGTCACCCCTCCACTGAAAAAATTCAAGAAATAAAGGATGGTTTTGGGGGATTGAGGCTGAGTCCAATTTTGACATAATGGTAATTGGAGAATTTTGCAGGATTAAGGATGGTTCCTAGCCAAAGGGTGTAGGGGTTAGGGTTAATCAAATTTTACCAAAATAAAAAGGGAAAAAAGGGAAAAAAAATATTCAAGGCGGAAACTCCAGTTTCATATCTGCTTCAGCATAAAAAGTCACCAGAATTTTAGGGGAGTGTGGTTATTTTTCTGCTACTAGTGATTCATTGTTGTTTCAGGATATGACAGTAACACAATGAGAAAGGTTTATGCACAAATGTTTCCAATAAGCAGAAGTTTGGGTTTTACAATTTGAACAGAAAAACCATAATCCGAAGGGTGTGTTCCGAAAGTGACATCACAGCAACAGCGACCTCAGTTGTCAGAAAAAGTATGAAACATTTAGAAATGTTGGAAAAAGTGCACTTTTACAAAGATTTTTACCAAAAAGGGATGTCTCATAGTTTGTAGACATTTCAGAGGAAAGGATATTTGCTACAAATATGCTCCAGTGTAACATTCATTTCGTGGACCCTTAATCCACCGTTCAAACATGATGCTAATTTATACAGTTATTTTTGTTATGCGGATTCAATACGTTTTCACAACTGAATGCATTCATGTTGCAAGTAAAAAAAACAAAGAACCTTTCAAAAAAACTGATCTATTTTCTGTAGATGAAGAATCTAAGAAGATTCGTCGACAGCTCAAAGACGCCAAGGGAGAGGCTAGTGATCTCGAAGAACATCTTCAGAACATGATGAAGTCAGTGCAGAACTGTGAGTTCTCTCAACAAGATTGTTATGGAAAAGCAAGATAGTTATACCAATGAAAAAGCATGCACATTTCATGGATCATATTCACTAAGAATTTTAATGTGTAAATACTAAATGCTATTTTTTTTTTTTCAGGTTCCCCCCCCCCCCCCCGATTTTTCATTATTCCCAAACACCACCAAACTTGTTTTTGTAACACAGCTAAAGACTTGAATCTGTTCCGTTCTCCAAAGCAAATACTAACTCGTAACGTAACGTCTACTCCTAACGTACTTAGTAAGGAGCTGGTTGATTACAAGTTTGAGATTAAAAAAACTCCGTACTTTTAAATTTCTGTACAAATCAGCGTAATACTTGATTTGTTGACCAGAAATATGAGGGCTTCACTAAATTTTCTTGCGATCGCTCCTTGCCACCAATTTGTAATACATTCATAGGTCAAGAAATGCTGGACACAAAACTGGCGTCAGTCACGAAGATGATGGAGAAAGTTGAAGGTGTAGCTACTCAGGTCCAGGAGAACACGAAAGGGAGGGGCGGGGCAGTAGAGGAACTGGAAGGCGGTGGGGTGACGCTGGAAAACTTCCAAGATGAGAATGCCAAACAGGTCAGAGTTCGAGAGTGTATAGATGTATCAGGCAACTCGGCGAGTTTTTATTGGAGTGCCGTGGCCTTGTGGTCTAGAGTACTGAATTTGTGGTCTGCCAATAATTCTGCAGGTTGTGGGTTCGAGTCCAGCCTGGGGTTATGGTGTGTGCACCCTTGGTGGGCAAGGCACTTTGCCACTCATTGCTTCTCCCCACCAGGAGTAAATGGGTACCTGTAAGGGCAGAGATGGTTATTGTGATTGATTTTTAGCTGCCTCACGCTGAAATGGCTGCATCGACCTGTATACTCCCCAGGGAGCTGAGATGGTATTTGGAATGTTTAATTGGCCCAATGATCAGGGGTAATAATAATGTAAAGCATTTTGATCTTTATTAAAAGTGCTATATAAGTATCTATTATTATTATTATTATTTGGCCTTAAAACCATGACTGCAGTGTATCCACGCACGCCGTGTATCAAAGGCATGTGGAATTCTTCTGGAGTGTCCCTTTATAGTATTGGCTAACACAATTTGGTTTGTATAAGAAACAGAGTAATTTACAAATCAGAACGAAAACTCCCTATTTCGTGTGGACTTCTATGGACTTCATCAGACAAGCATGCCGCGGTGATCTGTAAGGTGATTTAAAGATAACCTTTGTTTTCGTGTATGCAAATCCAGGCTACACAATTGGAGGACATTATTTAAGTGGCACGATGCTTGAGGGAAACTTGAAAAAATCTGAACACAGAAGTGTTGAAAATAGTGTTAAATATACTTGATGTAGATTGAAAATCGATTCTATTGATCAAATCTGAACACAGAAGTGTTAAAAATAGTGTTAAATATACTTGATGTACATTGAAAATCGATTCTATTGATCTAAGTTTCTAACTAATGGGACTTGTCTCTCTTTGCCTCTGTGCTAGATCTTTGACTTAAAGGCGGCAGAAGAGTTCTTGGCCCGCTATCAACCCGCGATGAAACGCCTCAAAGAGAGCACGGAAGCAATCCGCAAGGACCAACAGGTGGCGCTGGATGAAAATAAGACAGTTATGGAGATGGTGTCACAACTTATGGCCAAGAAACTAGACAGGGAACAGCAAGCTTCCGGCAAGATGAAATGGTGAGTTATGATGTCTAGACTTTACGTTCCTCAAATTTTTAGAAATGGATGGATTCGGAGGCTAGTATTTGATAGCAAATATTGTTACACTGACCTGTTTAAAGTTTTGTGTTCATAGATGCTGGAAAAACCAAGAACAAATGCTGTTGTTGTAGTCTGGCTCCTTGACCCTACTTCAGACGAAATGTAGCAAGTTATATACGTCAAGGTCAGGGAACCAGACTAGCTGGCTTGCACCTGTTCAATGAAGTGTAACCGATTGCAATAAAAATGTGGACTGACTAAATTTGGTGAATTGGAGGCAGTATTTGGGAATTATCAGTTTTTTCCAACGATGCTCGGCTGACCATCATTGGAAATTGATGTATAAATTCCACTTTTCTTGAAATGGCAGCACACCAGGTGCCATGATTTCACAGGATGTCTGAGACTATTATTCTCTTACAGTCAAGTAAGGTATTTCATAATAATTGAGTACATGTAGTTTTGCTTTTTGATGCTTGCAAATGTTGTATACTACCTTTAAGCACAGAAAAATAGTTGCTCAGCGAAAATGGCGAAAAGAAGCGATTGCCCAAGGCTCTGTGTATTACTTATGAATGGTGCTCCATTTGATTTGTGCTTGGCACAAAAATGTGTTAGCCACAATTCTGCTTATAAATACACAAATCCAGTACGTGATCACTGTACACTCACGAGGCCCCCTTCAATGGAGAAACCATTGTGCATGCTATTGTATGTACAAAGCAACTGCCCCTGATGGATTATTTGAACAACAGCTAGCACTTTGCTTTCGCCATTGACGGGGGCCTCTGTGATAGAGGTGATAGCGTGCCTGAATTGGTCCACAGCATTTCAGAGAATAAAAAATACATGATGCATATACCAAAATTAAAAAGTGGAAATTTTCAGCCATGAAATAACGACTTTTTTTTTTCAATTGCGATTTCCAGGTGCGAATCTGCCTCCAAAATGTTGGCACAGCTGACCGGGGTATCAGAGCGATCTCTGGATGATAACTGCTGGATCCTGGAGCTCACTGCAGACGGATGTTCCTCGGTCAACAAGGACAGTCTGACGGCCGTACTGACCCTTCACTTCAAGCCAGGCCCGGACCCTTGGTCACCCAGGCAGATCAGTGCCGCTTCGGTATTAGTGCCCCGTTTTTTACTTTACATCATGTGGAACCTAGGAATGTAACAATGGCTAGAAAAGCTGAAAAAAAAAAGAAAAAAAAACAAAGATGTAACGATGTCTAGAAAAGCTGAGAGAAAAAAATCTAAAGGTTGACACCAATAATTCAAATGATGAAAAAATCCCCGCAAACAGTCAGAAAAGTACCCAGACATTAGTCGTGTAGACTCTTTACTCTGTACTTATGAAATAAGACTTCAAAAAATGTAATTATGAAAAAGGTCACAAATCAACTTCAAGCAGAAATTGACATCTTTTATTTGTCTCTTATTGGCGCCATACAATTTGGATGGTCAAGGGCTGTTCTTTAAAATTTAACCCTCTGCAAACATGCATTGTCTGCCAAGTTGTCCTTTCAGTCAAAATCAGTCAAGTGACTGTTTTTTACAGTTAAGAGCTCCCAGCATACATAAAGCAGGATTTGACTGGCAGTGACTGTTTATTTAAACTTGATACATGTATGCTTTGACTGTAGGTGATTGATAAGACAGCTGTGTCTACAAGTTGCCTGCTTTTGTCTGTAATTGACTGAATTTGACTACTCAAAGTGCTTGCTGAAAATATGATCTGACTGTTGGTGATTAGCCTTTGTAAAAGGCATACGGCAGGGGAAGAGGATTGATTTTTAAACTGTCTGTGACTGTTTATACACTAACTTTAAATTTTTTATTTTCATCGTGACCAGATTGATGTTGATTCCCTGGACATGTCGGACCTCGTTGAAGAAGCAGTGAGAAAGAATGACGTTCCCTTCTTGGTATCATCAGTGATGACCAGACTGAGAACCCACGCACCCCTCTACATGGAAGTGGAACAGCTCCGACATCAGTGAGTCAATGAGATCCGCCCGTTCATTCTAGGGGTGTTTGCTTGCTTCAGTTTCAATCTCCATCCGCCAAATCTGACGCCTCAAATTCCAATTTCAATGGAAGCTTTTCGTTAATCTTTTGTAGCAGAGAGCAAAGTCACATGATCCGAATTTCAAAACCTAAGACTAGACTGGTACATGTCCAACTTTTAAAAAAATGTTGACTATTAGTCTGGTGGCATGACTGTGTGTAAAATGTACAGAAATAAAGACAGGTCACCAGATTTTTCTTTTGCCGTACCGGTCATGCAGGACTAAAGAGGTGTAGGACTGGTAGTTTCATGCGCAAGTCTATTTTCTTGTATTGTATGTGCCATGGTGTGTACTATCCCAAGTGAGTTTTTGGACTCTCAACACAAGTACTGAGAATCAAAACTGAAAAAATAAATTTCTGTTTTCCTATTTCCAGATATGCCATCGACTGGGTTCCAGAAGAGGGCATACTGAGGGTCATATTTGGGGACAGCGCCCAGATTGTTTGCACCCTGTCCTTATCAACCGGACCCCTGGGTACGACCTTAGCCCAGCTGAAATCTCTTGAGGGCGTCAGGCAACACCCGCCGCTTGACCAATTGAAGGTTAGCACAATTTTATTTTTAAGTCGACTTCTTTTTTTCACTTTGTCCACTTTCAGTTCTTTTCGTGACCACTTATATTATGTAACTGTCACAACATGATTTTTGTTAGCTGTCTGCCAGTTTTGAAAACTTGTAATAAAAAACAAGGTTTTTTGGTATTTTTTTTAATAAACGTAATTTTTTTGGGACTTTTTTTCTTGCAGCCACCACATGAAAAACCCAGGATCTCTGATTGGCTGGAGTACTTGCAAGAAGCCACAAAAAGCTTGTAGCGATGAAGGTACTGAAACAGGAGTTTACGAAACTGTGGCTCTTTCTCCAGCTGCCTCTTCAAGAGTTTTCAGGCGTTTGATTTAAGGATCTCTGCCTGAATATTTGGCCATTAAAGGTGTTTAAATGATTCCGAAGCTAGGGATTAATCCAATGCTGAAATGAAGCCGTGGTGTCATAAATGCCCATAAACTTTGAGGACTGCTTCGTCCATTGGCTCTTTCGCTCGTATCCCCCCGCCCTGTAAACAGGGCGCTGGGAAGGGCTGATGAGCTTCACAGAATCTTGTAGAGGAAGTGGCGATGGCATTCTGGGTAACTTATCATGACCTATATAAAGACATATAAAGCTGCAGCTGTTTAAGACCGCAGTTAGCCAATGCACGCAAATGCTATTTGAAAACTTTGTCATAGAAATGCATACATTCCATACCAGATGGGATTTCTTTTTCATTGCGGACCATGTGGACAAAATTGAGTGTCGCATGATATGCATTTCGACCCTTTGTGAATTCGAAACGGATCGAGCCTGAGCAAATGACGGGAAATGAAATTTTCAAAACAGAGATAAGTTTTACAGATTTTCCTACATTGTTACGCTTTTCAACGAAAAAAAACCCCATTCATGAATGGGAATAAAAAGAGCATTTTATCTTAACAGCCGTTTAAAACCTTGCAGGGTAGTGGGTATGATGACTTGAGGTCACAGGTCACGCAAAATCTATCCAATCAGAACGTAAATTCATCAGCCCGTCCTGTTTGCATCGCATATCGCGGGGGGTATGAGCGAAATTGGTTCTGTGCATGAACTATTGAGGGCAGTGTGAGGCTTACTTTCAGCACCGAGAGAGGGCGGTTTCCCAAAGCTAATAGGCACAAAACACCAGTATGTGTAAAATTTAAGCCTGTGCAACCCAACTTCACTTTTTGGGAGGGGGGGGGCCTCTGTTATTTCAATGTATTTATATCCATATTTGTAAATATAAACAGTAAGCAACATGCAAAAACAGTTTAGTCTTTGTGTTAACTTAAGAATACATGTACATGTTAATGAATACATGCTATTATGGTAAACAAAATTGTAAATTGAAATTTAATATTTTGTTGATTTTTTTTGTCAAATTAATTTACTGTACCCCAGCAAGTTGGAAATTCTTTCTACTTGGCTTGATATATTTGTATCAAATTTTCTTTGAAAAAAGTTTTGTGTAAAAGAGTTTTGCTAATAAAAGAAAATTAAAAATGTCTCCAAATTTGAGAGTTGTGTCGTTTTGCAATGAATTATTTTGTTTTATTATGCAACTCAATTTTAGAAAATAATTTCTATATTTTAACATCTTTTCTTTTCTTCTGCCAAAAGTAGATAATGAATTTCAAGCAGATGATTATATGAAATCCTTTTGAGTAAATTCCATGAAATAGTTTTGCCAAAAGCAAGTTTGTGACTTGAAAATAAAGAATACTATTGGTGAAATTTAAGATTTTGTTTAAAAGGTGTATAAACTGGATGAACTCTGTAAGAAAATGTTATTTCGAAAAAGAAAAAAAAAATCATTGCCCCGTGTGAGGCTCGAACTCACGACCTTCAGATTATGAGACTGACGCGCTGCCGACTGCGCCAACGAGGCACTTGGAGAGGAGGAGAAATTAAAAGTATTCATACAATAAAATGTAATTTATGTTGTTTGACGCATGCGTAACGTCGGTATTATTCGCTGGTTCCCATTCAGTCGTTTGTGTTTGGTATTGCGTCTTTATAACGCGACGCACACCAGTTATTACATCTGCTGTTTGCATGCTGCTTGCGTGCGCTGTGAAAAGAGATCGCAAACGCAAGTCAAAAAGGCATACAATTTTGGCTTTTCTCGGGGCTATTCAAGAGGATATAGCAATTTATCGGAAGTAAGGTCTGTTTAAGAAGTTCAAAGTGTTGAAATTAAAATTTAGTAGTTAATGTTCTAGCATTTAATTGATCTTTTTATAGGCCCCTTGCACAAGTTTCCACTTCTGTCATGTCTGTGTGGGGTACATTCTGGGGCGAGATAGTGTTGAATAGAAAATGCGTCTCTCTTGTCAAGTCGCCCCAGTTTTTGATGATGAAAATTTCTGCGAAGTGGCTATCGTTACGGCAGCCGTTGTTTAGTGCCCTCTACGATACTTTTTTGATATGCATGCAGGTAGGCCTATATAATTATTTGTTTCCCCACGTTCTCAGTCGATAAGATTAAGAGGGTAGGAATAGGATTTTGCACGAGGTTGCGGGTTCGCATCTCAGTTTTGCACTCAAATTTTTTTCCTTTTCTAACCTGAGGCTTTGGAAATTGGAGGATTTTTTTTAAAAGGGAAATTAAGTCCAAATTTCATAACGTTCAAATTCACTTTTTTCCTTCTAATTTTATATTTTCTTCTCATGTTTTTATAAAAGTTGCAGTAGGCCTACTACCGTAACGATAGAAAATGGGAAATGCGTTACGGCTGCCGTAACGATAGCCACTGCGAAATTTCTGCGATTGTTTATTTGGAAAGAATGTTGCATCCTGACACCACTATTTTCATCGTAGGCCAATAAAGGCCTACATTTCCAATTTTATGATTTCGAAGTGGATATCGACTATCGTTATGTCATTGCAGCCGTAACAGAAACACCATTTTTCAGCTGCTGCTAGGGCCTGTGGCTGTGCTATCGTTACGGATTGCACAATCATGAATATCGTCCATTGCGAATCTGTTTTGCATTTTACATCTTCCCACCCAACCATGACGTTTTGGTAGCTTGATTGGTTACTATGGTTACACTTAATGTGCCTGGGACGCAGGTTCGAAACCACTGCTGCGCTGCTCAATATATTCAACCATTGCAGGGCACTAGTGTTTGTTGTATATTAAACACAATTTTCTTGCTTTTTTATACATGTAGTCTGTTCCAGTACTCACAGATATTCTCAACCGAAGCAGCCATGTTTCAGCGAGCAGGTTCCAAGTTCACGGGAGGAGGTGGTGGAAACTTCAGCAACGACTTTGGCTACCCGGCGGGGAACGACGGAATGGGAGGCAACAATACGGGATTTGGAGGCGGCTTTGGCAGAGGGGGGTCGAGGGGTGGCGCAGGGTTTGGGCGTGGCTCGGGACGCGGTGCTGGAAGAGGAGTGGGAGGCGTCCGAGGTGGCTCATCGAGGGGAGGAGCTACCAGAGGAGGAGGAACCAAAGGGAGTGCCACTGGATCCGGGGCGGGTTCTTCAATGACTGAGACTGCTTCTCGGTCCGAGTCGGGATATCTGCAGGATCACCCAGGCCACTTCCCCGACCAGTATTGGTGCAAGGTAAATCAACAAATTCACTGATTCCGCAAACTTTGCTGTAGTTCCTTCTTAAAAAACTCTTAGTCCTTTAACACTTCAAAACCTTCAAAGCTTCCATTACTAAAATAATATAGTGTTACTGTCTGAACCCACAAGAACAGAAGGGTTTTGAAGTGTTATAGAATGTTCAATTTCTCAGTAGGGAGGTCAAATTGCAAACCTCCCAGTTCCTTAAACTTCCATGATTAGAGTTTGCAGGATTTTGTAGTAATCTTTAGGGTTGAGGAATGTGTTTTCCAGTTACTGAAAAGTCTTTGTTGAAATCCTTTTAAGTTGTTGAGTGTTTGGCGCTGAAGTTGATGATAAAGTCTTTTTTGTTCCAACTCATTCACAGATCTGCAATGCCAAAACAACAGGGGAAAACAACTACAACGCTCATTTGCGTGGCGTACGTCACAAACAGGTATGGGCTCTTACTTGTACGAAGGACTTTCCTTTTTGATCGTGCACAAAAAAAATTGTCGGATATTAAGCTCGTTTGAAGACTTGTGTGGCCTCTCGGGTTATTATAATTGAAAACAAACTGCAGCTCACTTTTTTTTTTCCAAGACCAAACCAAGTTCAAATGGTTGATGAGAGATGCACTCACCAGATCTGATTGGTAACACAAAAGAGAAACCGCTACAGCAGATCACTGTGTGATTGGCTGAGTGGCGCCTTCCATTAACCAATCAGGTGGCTCACTGGCAAAAGTCTGGCGCCCAGACTTGCTGGCAAGTATTAGTAAGAGTGCCTGACAGACTTGTAGTTTTCGAACTGCATTCAGTGTAAGTCATGTGTAAAAAAATATCATTCTTGGCAATCTGTGATTGTTCCTTGGTTGTTTTGTGGTCTGATTTTGAAGGATTCAGTACTTCTGCGCTTTTATTTTGCCAAAGTATGGCAGAATATTAAATGCACCTATGATGTACTGAATCCAACAAAATGTGGTACACAAGTTTGATGGCTTGTGATGGAGTGAGATGCCATTGCAAAATGTGCACCAAAGAATTTTGGCGAACCCAGGTTGGCGGATTGTAGCATTTTGTATGCTACTAAACGATGTTGAGTTTTTGTAATTAGGTAGACTTTTTTTTTTTTGGTGGGGTCAAAGCGTGGATGTAGGGTACATCCGTCTTTTTATTGCTTTTGAGGGGAAAAAAACGATGAAATAATTTAATCTGTAGATTGATGACGATCAGAAAGTGTACTTCACTGGGGACACTTTTAAATAGTCGCAGTATAGTCAGATATACGTGTGCATTTATGTCCCGTTTCATACATCTCCTGTTCTTGTACAATTCAAAATCCTGTTATTTTTCATTTGCTGAAATACTGTGGTTGAAAATCGGACTTATATTTGTGTGGTTCCCAGGTTTTATACAGGCATCTCCTACTTCTGGGTATTTTACGCGTAGCTGGGTAAATGAACCCAACTAATTTACAACTTGTAGTTCGGGAATGCTTCATTACAAAAGAAGTTGGCCATACTGCACATCTTCTGTGTAGTAGCCAACAGAATGAAGTGTATGTTTTTTTAATCAAAGAGCCATGTGACATGCAATCAGGGTTGCATTGTCACATGAATTGGTTCATGCACAACATTCTGTGCATATTGCATATTGATTTTTCAACAAAAAACAAAGTTAGGTCGGTAAACTTTTCGCCTGTATAGATAATGGGAACCACAATGCTATGCTACAGTTATAAAAAATTTGTTAAGACTGAATTTTATCATTGCATATGCTGTATGGAGCCCGAGGAGCATTCCTTCCCCAGAGGGAGGAAGCACCTGGGCTATTCCCATTCCTAACCTGATTGTGTTTTCTCTTTTCCCCTCTGCATTTAGAATGTCATGAACCTCCAAATTGGCGGTGAGTGGAATGGGTTGCAGACTCTCGATTTTGGCCTTGACTTGTCAAAATCATGGCTGCC